CAGGGAGCTGGTTTAGTGAAGTTAAGTGGAAGATGATGTATTCAAGGGGTATTTAATTTCTTAGGCCTCTGCAATGAGAATTAATTGCCATTCCTTAAAGTTTTTCTTAACTTATCGTAAGGATTTTAGGGTTCTTACAATTATAATATCTTGGTATAGGTTGTATTCGAATGTAATCTAAATAAAATTAAAAACCTTAGGAAACTATTAAATTTGAGGTTTTTGTTGCTTAAAACTAAAATTTGAATTAAGTTGAAAGTTGGTTTTAGTTGGCCACTTTTGGGATAAATGAAATATAAATGAGGGAACTAACTTTGTGGTTGATGTTTAATAAATAAATACTATTTAATAACATAAACGTATTTAGGTTGATCAATAAATTATAAAAATTTATTGGTGATAATGGAGAAAACCAAAATTTACCTTACCCTAAAAAAATATAATTCAAAATAATGTTAATGGATTTCAAAAATAAGATAACTGGGTAAAAAAATTGATTGCCTAATTAGCTGATTAAGTGCATCCTGATACTGAGCTTACTTTTGCCGGATATCTTTGTTTATTTATGCCTTAGTTGGAGATCCTTAGCGCCTGGCATACTGACAGCAGACGGAGCTGCGCGGCACTCGCTGCGTCGGCAGACCGGACATTCCTTTGAGATATGTGTAGGAGACGGGCTGCCGCAGGATCCTTTGCGGCGGCGGCTTCACCTTGCTTTTGGATGTCGAACTGCAGGTCGATGATGATGATGACCTGCCCGCTGGGTGGTGGTGATGATGTTGTTGTTGCTGCTGCAAATGCTGCTGCTTGTGCAGCTCCACATTTGAGGCGGATTTGAGAGCCGACTTGAGGGGCAGTGCAGATGGAGGTGGCGGCGGCGGTGGCGGGGGGGAGGGACCGCTGCAGGATAGCGAACGCGAGGTCAGCGAAAGGCTCTCGAAGGCGCGACGCAACGAGGAGGTGGAGCGCCGGTGCAGACGCGAGAAACTGGCCCGGCTAATCGGCTTCTTCTTCGATTGCAGTGGCTGTTGTGCCTGCTGCTGCAGTTGCTCCTGCTGCTCCTCGATGTCCAGCGTGCTGCTCGTCTCGCTGGAGGCACACGACATGGACATCAGCTCGAGTCGCGACTGGTGAGCGGCGCTAAGGCCACGCCCCGAGGAACACGAGTCGGTCGATGAACTGTGCGCGTCCTCCTCTTGGAGCGTCGTCGTGACCCCGGCTCCTCTGGCTGTTGCAACGCTGGCTGCGTCATCCGACTGAACTAGGTCATCCTGCGACCTCAGGCCGAAGCGGCGGCTCAGTTGCCGAAAGAAGCCCAGATTGCGTTCGTAGCGCGGTGTGGGCGAAACGCTGAGGCTGCCGCCCGGCGAGGGTGTGTTGTTGTGGCCCACCACCTCCAGTTTCGACTGGCTGCCGCTGCCGCTGACGCTGCTACTCGTATTGTTGTTGTTGTTCAGGCTGCCATTGCTGGCGGTCTTGTGTGGCAGGTGCTGCTGCTCATCGGCGAAGCAGACATGAGGAGTGCCCATCTCTGTTCTTTGTTTTTTTTAGGCAACCACCCACCTCATCAAAGGCCACTTGGGCGTATGAGTAATTTCCTTATTACCAGGCAACTGGCACCCGTGCGTATGCGGAATTTCCTTAATAAGAGTTTCCTTTGCTGCCCACCATGCGTATGCGTAATTTCACTGGTGCGTATGAGTAATCTCTTTGTTTGTGAGGACACTGCAAAAGGCTGCACTTCCGCTTCCGGTCAAATACTCTCCGCTTCCTTTGTTATTCCAACCGGTGTCTTTGTCCACTGTGTTTACCTTTCCTTTATCCAGCGAGAGTGAGAGAGAACCGACTGGGCACGTTGTCCTGCCGCTTGTGAGTCGGCAAATCGGAGGCCGCTGGCTTTTATAGCCTCGCCCGGCACTCTGCAAAGTTTCCATCAGAGAGAGCGTAAGAGAGTGCTTAGAGAGAGTGAATGAGGGAGAGAGAGAGCGGGTGCCTGTGCAGAAGCCCCCCCCCTGCCCTTCCGCCACCCCTGCTCCTTTCCGCATCCTTTGTTCCTGCATTGTTGCCTAATAATAAAACGGGAAGCGAATTTTATTTACCGCCGTTGGTTTGTTTTGTTTTTTGTTTCTTGTTTGCATTCTCCCACGGTAGCTTGTGCCGCTGGCCGCCAGGTGGTGTCAATGCACGCACTCGGGGATTGAGTTTTAGAAACTTCGAGGTGGTCATACACACGGTGTTTTATCGGGGGTATACTGCATTCGAGAATTTTTGGACTTAACCAAACGTAATTAAAATATGAAAAAAATAAATATGTTAGTAAAAATGTTCATATTAGGTACATCATAAAAACAATTTAACTTTTGAGCAATACATCTGTATGCAGGAGATTATTTCAAAAACTAACTTACCAGCAATATCGAACTTGTGGCATTTAGGTGAATTGCTATTTCTAAAAACTATAATTATAATGGCCTACTCTATATACTCAGCTGCGTTAGTCATTTAAGGATACAGGACACTGACGGCGATTCAAACTTAAGTTTCTTCCAATAATTATTTATTTTTAATAATCTATTTATTCTAAGGTATTCAAAAAGTTAAAGATTAAAATGAAGGATCTAAATACCAGTTAACCCACTAAACGCAGTGTAAGCCATCTGATATTCCGAAAAGAATTTTACTCCTTTAATTGTTTTTCTTTCTCTCCCCACAGAGCCATCAATTATTAATCAGCCAGACGTTTTCGTTTCACTTTGTTCCGTTTGACTTTCATGGTTGATTTAATTTGCTATTGTCGAAAATAGCACTGAGGGGCTTGATGGTGCTTATTTTTGAGAGGCCTGTGCTTGATTTGCCTAAAAATATACTTGGCACTGACAGTTCTCAAGAGCTATAAGCAGGGTGCCTTAAGAAACCAAGAGGCTTGGCCCAAAAGCAATATTTTAGCAAAATTTCACCTCACTTAAGTTGAGGGCCGAAAATAGATTTGGGCTGTTTGGTCCCTTTTTGTTGTTGCTTTTTATTTAATTGCGCCCAAAATTGATTTTAATGCGCTATAAATAAAGCCGAATGCCAATTTTGTGTGAACGCATTTTAAGGCAGGCAAGACGGCGACGTCTTAATGAAGTCCTTTGTTTTGACTTTGAGGGGATAAAGTGGGAGGGTATGAAGCTTCGAAAGATGGGGCGTATTAAAAGCTAGGAATCAGGAGGTGTCGACAGCGTTTGGATTTCCCCACTCCCCCTTGAAAAACCATGAACATCTAATTAGAGGCGCAATTGTTGACACCGACTGACGTCAGAGCGGCCAGTGATTTTGTTTTGGCCAAAATGACACAACTCGGAATTCAATTTGGGATGTGATGAGTTGGGTGTTGGGGGTCCATTGTCGCAGACTTGTTAAGCGCTTGTCGCATCCATTTGGCGGCGTATTAACTCATTTCGACTTAATCAAGTTTGTCAACAGATTAATGAATGAGCTTAACTGTTGTCCTGTCGGCGATTGATCCGGAATTTCAAATAGACTTTGAACGTTTATAATTATTCTGGTTAAGTGTTCGGTGAATTGTTAAGAAGAGTCAAACGAATATTTAGCTTAAAAAGGGATTATTGTTTATCTGAAAATATGCAAGGTTTCTTGGAATAATAAATATTTGTTATACTATTTTCAATGACAATATTTTTTAAGCTTCATCTTTAGATTTAACATTTATAAATACGTTTGAAATACATTTAGAAATAAATACAAAAATATAAACGTATTAATAAATAAAATTCACTTTCAAATTAATTTTACTATTTGTTTTCAATTTTTGTAAGCCAAGCAAAATAAAATCTAATAACTTAATTTTAAGTGAATTGTTAATGAGTATTTCATTTTGTTTGGATGAATTGTAGTTTGTAAATTTAAAATACAATTTTGTGAATATACAGCACGTATGCAGAGCATATTTTATAAATGCTTTAGAATTTAATTCCATTGGCTTTTCAATAAGTTTATTGTTATCGCTAAACTCTCATTTTGTAGGATTCCTAGAACGTGTGCATGTCATCTTTGTATCTGACGCTTTTCATCGGAATTACCAGAAGCAAAATTCCCAATCATATCCCTTTCGTATTCCTGTTACATATGTATTTATTAAAACGCAATTTACTTCCCAATAATCGGAAACCATACATATGAAATTCATTTTCTTACTGCGCCATAAAACTATTCGGATGACAGACAAATTTGTCTTCCTTTGTTTACAGAAATTTTGGGTTAAAGGCTTTTGTTTGTTTGCAGATAAATCATGCATTTTAATTTGATTTTTTAGGACAAACTGTGCCAAGGACAAGCTACCCTTTGAGCTTGGGGCTTGTTTATTATGGGTTTGCTATTATGAAAATGGGTTCAACGATACAATGACCTCGAAATGATTGCTTGGGCATGGGACCTCCGGCGTCCTCGGTTTGAAGAACCTTAATAATTGAGGTGTCATCAAAATTTTAAACGTTTTCGTTTGTCACGCCCGCCAAGTGCAACGGTGTCGATTAACGTCACACGGATATGCGCCAGTATGTCAAAACTGTAAGGTCGAGTCCTTCGGCGACTTGATTTTGAGGACTTTGCCTACATCATCGGCAGCACCAAAGCGCCTCTGTTCCCAGGGAACAGTGTGCCGCAGACTGTCACCCAAACAAAAGGAGGCCACGTGCAGGATGGGCTCTCTCTGGCAGGCTCTCTCGTTTTCCCTCTCTCTTGCGGCAGGAGCTTTTGCCTACGTTAACGGTGTCCTTAAGCTTTCGCTAAACCGTTACGAATCGAATCTCCTTGGCCAGTGAAATTCGGTTCATTCCCTTTGTTGTCCCTTCACCTTGAATGCAATTAAAATCAGTTTGTTCTTTTTTATAGTCATGTATATTTTATTTTATTGACAACTAGACTTAAGTGGTAGATTATCTCTGTTCAGTTAGGATCTAAAAATATATAGGCTCTAAACATTTTCGCTAGGTTTTCATTATCATCTACTATACCATTTACATTTCATCATGATATTTCTTTATTTAGAATAATTGGTTTTGTTCTTAAAAAAACTTCGATTTATTGGAGCGTGAATTATTGTAAAATGTTCCTCTATTAGTGTGTTCTTAAAGAATTTAGTTTTTCTCTTTTTCTTTGTATAAATTCGTCAAATTCTGTTTTGGTTTGAATAGTCATTGAAATCAGTGCAAAGAATATATTAAACTAGTTCAAAAGTGCAAAAATCGTTTTTATTTTAAAGTATATTTTTACGGTTCAACTTAGGGCCTCCAAAATTGTATTTTAAAGAGTTACTTTCGAAAGATATGTGAGGGCTTCTAAATAACTTTTGGTTTTACTTTAAGCTAATCTAATTATTTTTCGTTTGTAAACTGAAAGTCCCTAAATTAGCCGAAGACAATTAGATCATCTAGGGTGTATATCGTAGCACATTGATAGGTTTTTGATTTTCGGGGCTTGGCTTTAGGTACACTTATTGGGCCCAGTTCGCAGACTGTTGGCGAACTCAGCTTGGACACATTTATAAAATATGTTCGCTGCTCATTTATATGGTAAACCCCCATATTTCCGTTGTCTCCACTCGAATCTCGGTTTTTCAGGCACTACTCGTACATCACTAGAAATTCCTAAGTATATTGTTCAAGACCCCCAACCAGCTTGCAGCTCTCCCGTGTTATTCCCTTACTCAAACCAAATCAGGTATTTGGTTTCCCATGCATCTAGTACATATGCTGCAGGGTGTAGGGATAGCAGACCGCATAGCTGGGCACTCGGGAATAGAGCCCCGACATGCCCTTCATGTAGACGTACTGCACTGGCGGCCGCAGGATGCTCTGCTGCTTCTTGTCCTTCTTGGCCGCCGGGCCACCGGATGACTTGGAGGAGTGACTGCTGCTGCTGCTGCTGTTGGAGTTGTTCGGAGACAGGGATTTCTTGGGCTGCCGCAGGGGAGTGCTGCTGCAGGACAGGGAACGCATCGAGGCGTTTGCCGTGGGACTGGAGAAGTGCTGCAGCATGCGGCTCACCGAGGAGGAGATGGAAATCCGGCTGAGATGCAGTCCCGGCGATTTGGCTGATGCGGCGGATGCGGATCGGGGTTTGCTGTTCTCGTTCTCGTCGTTGCCCAGCTCCACTTCGTCCTCCGCCTCGTTGCTGCTGCCCTCCTCGCTGGTGTCCTCCTCGAAGTGCAGCTGCGGATGTAGTTGCTCCATGGCGCTACCGGGTCTGTAGACGGCCTCCACATAAATGTGGCCCTGCTGATCGTAGTAATCCAGTCCAGGCGAGTATCTGGAGCAAGCGGAGCCGCTTGAGGTCCGGGAAGTGTGTTCCAGGTCCAGCGAGGAGCCATTGATGGGACACTCGTGGCTGCCACGCTCGTAGCTCAAACTGAACGAGTCCGTGGAGCTGCTCCTGATATCGTCCTGGCTGCTGTACACCGTCTCGTTCTGCTGGTTCTGATGGTGAAAATGACGGCCCAAATGCCTGCTGAGCAGCTGCAGCAAACTCCGGGAGCGCGACAGTTTCTTGGGCCCATTTCTGGGATGACGATGCAGCTTCTCCTTCTGCTGCTGCTTGCCCAGATCCATGGAGGAACTGGCCGCCGAGCTGCCGCTGGAGCTCGACTTGGAGCCATTGTTGGGTGACAGAGTATCCATAGCGAATGTTTCTATAATTTTTCGGATTTATTAACTTCACTTTGTGGCACTGGCACAGTATCTTTCAGTTCTCTTTTTTTTGTGAATTGCGAGTTCTGGCTATCAGTTTTGTTTAGTTGGTTAAGCTTTCAATTGAACGCGAACCGCTGAAGTCTCGATAAAGACTACCAGTGGCAGGCGTTTGGCACCCGCTTTTATACAGCAGCTCAATGTCGTGGCTGCTTCGCATCCTAACCTTCGCCCCACGAGGACATTTCTAAAGGACTTCGGCTCGGTTCGCCAAGTTCGGCTGCTGCTCGGCCTGCCATACTGACACACACAGCGGTGTCGGATGAACAGTGTCCCGTGTGCCGTCGAGAAGGACACACTGCGCTGCCACGAAGAAGGATTCCTTCCTGCTCGGCTGAGGACGGGAAAACCTGTTGCTTTCTACGGACTTTTCCACTCAACGTGACTGCTGATGCTTTCCCTTTGGGCCGGGCCAACAAAGCCAGCTAACAACACTTTGGGCGTCGCTGGTTGCACTTTTGAGTTTTTAGCATTGTTGTGCGTGATTGGGAACGTGATCCGTGCACGTCATTCACCCGTGCGACGGTGTTCCTGATGAACACTACCAGAAAACTGTAGTTAACTTGGGTAGATGCTTGCAAAACGGGCTGCAGAACTTAGCCAAAGCCGTCAGAGCATTGGCTTCTTTAACTAGAATTTACTCACTTGTTAATCCAGCCAAATATATTGCATTTTGCTTGCTTATTCCTTTATTTATAATAAATATATGACATACTTTCGCTAATAGAACATTACTAACTTTAAAATTCTTTAATAATAATAATCAATCCTAACTGATGAACATATCGTTTGTTATTTAAGATGTACGTTAGAGCCATAACACACTGCTTTACCAAAAACAAAATAATAAAAGCATAAAATCCTTCTTGTTTTTAAAATAATACAAATATTTTTTGTATATTTAACAAAAAGGTTATAAAGGTTTTGATGCAGTCTCAACATTATAAATAAAATGACCTACAGATTTTATTTAATAACAGTACAAATTTAGGGTTCACCCTTTGCCTGTTTAGCATCAACTATCAAGACATAACATTTTCAAAAATGTTCCAGTTTTCGTTCAGTGTAGAACCCTTTCACACCTCCACACGAACGAGTTAGGCGCACATTTTATTATTTAACTGAAGACAGGAAAAGACTAGTGTCGGGTCTCAAACATATCCACATGTGTCCAGAGTCACGAGTCGCCAAAAATGAGAAGGGATGAGATGATGGCCAGAAGTGCTCCCTTAATCCCTGCTAGTTGCTGCAATTATGTGCTCAAGCCAACAGGTTGAAACTCATCGATGCTCAAGGTGATTTTGCACGTTTTGCAAACGCATTTCGGTTATGCAGAGCCCCCTGAAGACACAACAGCTATAAATAAAGAAGACACCGCCGAGAGATTATCATAATCAGCAGATCGAAAAGGTCGTAGCTTAAAATACTTTGGCTGAAACCATATTACAACCACTACCACTTTGTTGCATCCTGGGTACTAACATATATTAAGCTTTCTGTGCACACCAATCAAAGGGTTTTTGTGACAGGAAATCGAACATCCAGAATTTCAAGCACTGGGTCACCAGGTCTCCTGGGGATATGTCACGTACTCTACTCTACTCAACCAGAAGGCCATCTCCCACTATATTTGCATGTATCAACCTCAACGGAACGGAAATATAAGGCTTAACAGTGCGTGCCGAGGAAAATAGTGAAAAGTCTTTTGTATTGCAGGATTTTCTCATCTATTTGCTGTGGCTTTTGGCTTTTACTCGCAATCAGAGCAGAAACGAGGATAGCGACAGGGCGCCGATGCCGACATCGAGGGCGCCATAGCGGTTCGCATACGGGTAGGGGTATCCGTAGGGCCCGGGCCCGTTGTGGTAGTAGCCTCCGCCCGGATAGGGTCCTCCGCCGTAGTAGTAGGGTCCCGGCTGCGGTCCCAGGTACGGCTGATGATAGCTGACACCGAAGGAGACCACCGGTTTGGCCTTGGCGCAGGTGGTGGCCACCACTAGAAGTACTGCTAGCTGCAACGGGAGGAGCGGAATTTAGGATGGGAGTTCTGTGCAATAAAATTGGTCGCCTACCCAAAGATAATTGCGCATTTTGTCTACAGCCTGCCAACTACGTCGTCCAGTGTCGTTTTTACTTTGAGCTCCGCTCTGCATTCCCAAAGACCTTTTATATCCCCCAGGTTGGGGGCCTTGAGTCCGCAGAACGGAGCCCACAGCCCAAAGCCTGTTTTCACATTGGGTAAACAACTTGATGGGGGTCCACTCCCTGCAGCCCGTTCTAAATTCTGTTCATTATTTTACCAGCAGCATGACGAAAAAAAATGTAAAGTACTAAGAGTTACTGAAACTCTAGTCAAAACTAAATATTGGGTATTGTTGCAGCAAAAAGATTTTCGCAAGAAATATAAGTATAAACTTGCTGCGACGGGATATTAATTAAATTAAATTAAATTTAGTTTAAAATGTATATTAATATTAAATTTAAGAAAAGGTTAAGCCTTTAAAAGCTATTCTTGCAGTGTTTTTACTTTTCCTGTGCAATGTAAGTTTGTTGTTCACATAGATTTGCCTGCCTGGTCGACTGCGATTTCTTTAGCCATTAATTGGACATTGTAAAACCTTGAACTTGCAGATGCCGATGCAGATGCTGATAATATACCTCCAGCTCTTTCTGCAGTAACAGGTTTTCCTGTCTGCCACTCCAGGCAGATGATGGGCTCCAGTAAACAGATATTCTGGCCACCTTCCCTTCCAACCAATCAGAGGTTTCAGTTGACCACAAGAGCAACTTCTAATTAGCTTTGCATAATGAACACGAGCTAAGTCTGGTCTCGTAATCATCAATCATTTCTATGGATCGCCAGTGAAATACGCTGCAATTATTTGAAGATAATGCTTTATATGCCTTTATAGCCACTCGGAAAAAATACATATTTTAAGCGAGTGTACAAAATAACGATTATTAAAATCTTTTTTCTTTTATTTTGCTAGTTAAAATAAGTTAAAATGTTTTTCCTTGTTTAAGTTTCTTAAAAATTATAAGTTTTTCTTATATACGTTTATAATTAACTTTAATTTGCTTTTTATTTAATTCTTATATGTGGTGCTTTATCGCTTTGTTGAGCAATGCATCATATTTTTGGCATATTTTATCATTTTTTTAATAAAAATACACTTATTGGAAATGCTTTAAAAACACATAAATAAATCTTTTTTTTTAGCCATTCTGTTATTTTTAAAGGCAAAACCAAAATATAGAGTATTTCAAAACATTTCCGTAAAATAAAGCGATATTATCAAATGGTATTATATCTATTTCCTTTATGATTCAACTACCTTTACTGGTCAAATTGTGTTATGCAAATGAAATTAAATAATTGTTTATTTATAGTGTGCGACAAAGCATATCAAGCCCAACTTCCAAGAACATAGAAATATCGTCAAAGCTGCTTAAGTGTTCATTATAAGCCCACGAAAAATGCCTACAGAGTATCAGTTGCCGCCGAGCAATCAAATGTTAATTAATGTGGGCGATTCGATTAGGATTTGGTTTCCGTCCCATGCATTTGCGTATGTTCCATTGGTGACGGCCATGTGACAGCCTAAAGTCACGTTCTCAAGTTCATTTGAAAATCCGTAAAGCAAGCAGCAAAGTGCAAGAATTGCGGCAGCAACCTGTAAGGCGTTACTTTCCACACAGTTTACTCCTCGGTCACATTGCACTATGCGTTGGATGCTACGCTGCTACGGCTTCTTTTTGCTCCGGTGACGTACGACGACGTGTAAATCTGTGTAAATTTAGACAAGCCTCCCGGAGCATAGGTGAATAACTGAGGGCAAGGACGGGGCCATTCGATATAGCCAGCCATGGTCGGGGCATTATAACTGAACAATAGGAGGCCGAGTTCAACAGACAACGGGTGAGCCAGGTCACTTGGTTTTTGAGGGAAGTTGGGATGTAGGGAAGTTGTTTTCACAGACAGCTCAAAACAATGGCGTTTATCCAGTGGTGAACCCCTTCGATGAGGAGTGGTCGAACTTTATTCAAATTTCACGTGGTTACAATCGGCGTGATTATCACCTACGAAGGTTTGATGCTCTCCACCATCTAGTAGAAATACTCATAGGTCAGGGGCTTGTATTCGCTGCGATATTGCTGCTGGAACGAGTTGGGGGTCTCCACGCTGTGATACAGATGCGATTCGGCGGCTGCCGGGGCAATCAATCGGGAATAGGCCAAGGGCAGGACGGAAGAGGTCCTGGCAAAGGTGCCAGGATAATACCCATAAGTTGGGGTGTAGTAGTACACCTCGTGACCCAAGGCCAGGCCAAGCAAACAGGCGAAGATTAGCTGGTTAACGAAATAGTCATTACAAATAGTTAGATCACAATTGGTTACCGATCTCACCAGCTTCATTTCTTTTGTTGCAGTTCCTTGGAGATCACCTATCCAACTGAATACCCATTCCTCGCCGTTCCCAGCTTTTATAGCTGCCCACTGCCAGTCAGACCTTCACTTTGGCCGGTGGCCAAGGTCAAAGGCATTTGCCCAGAAGGCGGCAAATGAAAGAAGCCCTTAACTCCTTTTGAATGGGCCAGTTGCAATTGCAATTGCCAGCGGAACTCGTTCCCTGCCACTCAGAACCCAGATGCGAATCGGATGGTCGTGAGTCCACTGACAAGGCGTTGAATCCAGCAATGCCGCTTGGGTTCTTGCAAAGGAGCACCCAGCCGCCTTCACTTATTTCGCACCAAAGCGTTCATCGCACTCAAAAAATCAAAAAAAAATACATTTACGATTTTGATATATTGGTTTCAAAAATAAATTTTTAATTTATTATAGACCTGATGTTAGAAAATCTTAATAGTCTAGTTATAAACTTATTTTTCTAATTGATACTCTTAAGCTTATATTAAATAAAAATTTAAATCTTGAATTAATTAAATCAAACCTTTTCACTAAAACTAGAATTCATTTAACCATAACTACTTGAAGTTAAAAATTTGTATGGGCTTTTACTTCCTTTATTATAAGTAAAAAAGAAAACTAAGATACATTAAATCATTTATAGATTGAACTTTTTCATTGATTAAGTATACAATTACAATATGTGTATGAGTAAGTAAGAGTTTTAGGTAAGATGATTACAAGTTTTTTGATTGCTTTATTATAAGTCAATTAAAACCCCTAAACGACTAAAAGAAATTTTTAACATTTTCATTTAAACTTAAATTGAATTTCCCTCAATAACTAACAACTAAAATTGATTTGAGGATTGTAGTTGATTTATAGTAAATTAAAGAAGAACTGATTAAACACGAAATACCTTTACCAAAGGCAAGAATTTCTTTATAAGTATGAATTAAATAGTTGAATACATACAATCTAACAGAGTGGCCAACCTGTTGAGCTTCCACCTCTTAATGGCTTTCCTCGAAGTGTATTTTCTATTTGTTGGTCTTCGCTAAGTCGCAAATGTTCGCAGCTCTTTGCCGTTTGTTTACTTCCTTTGATTTGCTCTGGGACCGAAAATAAACAATTAAGTGCGTCCGGAATTGAGACGCACTTCCGGAGTTTTCCCGCCTTCTGCGAGGAGGCTCTCAAGGTCAGGGTGGAAAAATAGAAAAAGTTTCCCTTTGTCTTGGCAGCAATGAAAACAAACTCCCACGCCGAAATCAATTAAATGAGTTTATTGTTTATTGTTCGTATTATGTATAATTCTAGTAAATGTTTTTGCTATTTTGTATTTTTGTGGGTTGTTGATTTGTTTTTCACCGGATATATTGCGTAGTTCAAGCCGGTATTTTTTTTTATTTTTTGGGTTCTGCGGTGCGTATTTGGCCATCTCACAATCGCATTTGTGGTGCAGTGTTTCAGTGGGTGGGCAAGTGCACAGTCACTCAACTGAGCTGGGAAATGTGAGCACTTCGCGTTCGCTTGGATTTCAAAGAGACTTTTAGGGTTTTGTGTATCGGACCAAGGTCGAGCAATTGCTGTGGCTTCTTGCCTTCTGGGCCGCGTTATATAAGGCCGCAGCGCGTTCAAGCAGCCATCAAACCATCTTTTGGCAGCTCCTCAACGAGTTCAAGAAGTTTTGCAGTAATCAAAACCCTTTCAAAATGTTCAAGCTGGTAAGGATTTTCTGGCCTCGGGCTGAAAGGAGTTAATTAAGTGACCAACTTTTTACCGACACCCCCTCTTTCAGTTCGTTTTCCTCGCCTTTTGCCTGGCTTTGAGCTGTGCCGCTCCCGGTTTGCTGCACTCGTCGCCCATCCTGACCAGCTCGTACCACAGTCTGCCCTCGGTGCGAGTGATCCAGCCCATCTGGACCACCTCGCACAGCGTTGTGCACCCCATCAGCTACGGTGGCTATGGGCATGGTCATGGATACGGTTATGCCCATGGTCATGGCCATGGTCATGGCTGGATCTAGGAGAACTCGCCTCACAAATGGGCATCCTCAAGCAGCCGACAGAGCAACTGTCGCCCGCAGCTATTCCCTGGAGTTTAGCCACTTCTTTGACGGACATGCCTCGAATAAAGTTCTGAAATTGGTTTGAAATTTATGTGTCATAATTTGTTTCTTTTGGGGAGGGATATCGTGAGGGCTATTTAAGCCTCTGTTGTTGTCTTACTTTGCCTTAGTTATCGTTCAGATTTACTCGAGAAATGTTTGCCGTAAGTACACCCAACAAAAAATTATCGTACAAACTAAGTGTTGGTAAATGAATTATAAACCATTGGGTATAAGAAATTTCTCAATAAGATGGGTATTGAATTAGTACCACAAAAGTATAAAAAAAAAGTTATGTGGTTCAAGCCAAAGGCTCTGTATAAAAATAAAACCAAAAAGTATAGGGGCTATATTATTTAGCAGTGAATAAATAAACTTTCAGTTTTTTTTGCTGTGCACTTAAAAATAGTCGGTCTTTAATAAGAATAGTCGGTCCTTAATATTATATTATAATTTTTCAGCAAGAAAACCAGAATGTTTAATTTATTAAGAATTGGGTGTAAAAAACTTGAAAGGGTCTCTTTAAGCTTGTTATAAAAATAAATTAATTAATATATTTTGGCAATGCCCTTGTATATTTTCTTGTAATCCATGCCCTATTTGTTTGTTGATTTTAGCAGTATATTGCCATTTGGTTACTTTCATTGAATGTGGTATGGTGTCAACCAATGTATATCCTGCTACCAACTCAAGTAGCTCGAAGTTTGGAATTGAACGAGGAAACTCTATTCCAGGAACCAATTGAAGCCATTGCTTTAATGGAAGATCCCGCCAAAGTATACACACCCCACGACTTTTTCGGTGAAGTCCACAAATTCATTATCGGCGTTCAACAGTTTGTGCAGCATCCGCCGACTTCACTGTACAGTGCGTTCAACCAACTGCAGAGCAATGTCAAAAACAATCACCAGAAACAGAAGCCCGTGAAATACAAGGTGGTTCTTGACCCCTCTGGAAACATTTCATTCACCTTGGGCTGGTCAGCCAACTTGCAGGTGTTCAATAGAATCGGTTTCACTAAGAGTCGCAGTCTTGTGAACTACAATGCATGGTCTAAGGGTTAACACACCGAATGGCCAAATCAATACGAAAATGTTAACATACTTCTGGGCTGGCAGCATGACATTACAATTAAAATTAAACTGCAATTTATATAATACAAAATAAATGCAAACCCAATTGTTCGAAACGGGTTCTGGTTCTGTTTGTGATTTGTCGCTGATTACGTATACGCCACGGTATCTAATTTTAAACGCCGCACGTTGCACTGTCTAAACGTTGTGTGTTGTATCCGGTTTGGAAATGGCTGCACGCCTGGCAACATGTGTACGGGCCACGGATAATTATACTTCCATATTATTAGTTTGCCGGCTATATTCATACTAATTGTGTTTAATTAGCTGGCTATTGTGGTCGAATATTGGTCACGATTATCTAAAAAATATTATATTATTAACAAATACAATTACTTTAGCCATTTAATATTGACATTTCAAAAGTAATAAGGCTTTAACAATTTTGGTATGTTCTACCGAAAATGTTAGTTATGTTAATGACCAATTAATAATAAAATAATTACACTAATGCACTGAAAAAATGTTGCTTTGGTATATATTTTTGATAATGATTTAAAAAAATAAAAATAATGCCAATCAATAGTAAAATTAAATTATTGTATCACCAACATGCTATTTGCTATTGGTTAAATATCAAATTAATAAAACAATTGTTTTAAATATTATTCACTTATTATCGTAAGCTAAAAAAATTATTTAAAGCAGTTTTTACATAAGTTTAATCGCATTTCTTTTCAAGAAATAAATTTGTGTAAAAATGTCTGTTGATGACGTTTTTGCAGCTCCCACTTCTTCCCCCGAACAAAATCCCTTTGTTTTTTACAGATTTAAAGACAAATGATTTCGTTTGTTTGCGAGTTTATTCAAATTTCATTGCAAGTGTCCATCTATTTTGCTCCGACGTCGACGATTTGTCCCGAAATCTACTTCTTCAGGAGGAGGGGAGCGGTGTAGGCGGCGGCGTACGGAGATGTGTAGGCGGCGGCGTAGGGAGCGGCGTAGGAGGCGGTGTAGGCGGCGGTGTAGGGGGCGGCATAGGCGGCGGAGTACGGGGAGGCCACATAGGGAGACGCCACATAAGGAGACGCCACGTACGGAGAGGCCACGTAGGGGGCGGAGTAGGCCAGAGGAGCCACGATTCCGGGCTTGGCGGCCACACAGGCAAACAGAGCGAAGATTGCGACAGCGACGAACTTGAACATCTTGGTAGGATTGTTTATTTGGTTTTACTTGTCGGATTGAACAAATGCAACTGATGTCTGAAACAGTCCAGAGTCGTGGCTTTTATAGCCCCACAACCGAATGCCTGGCGGCGACCTTGCAAGGTCTCTGGCCGAAAAACTAAACTATGTATGTTGCTTAGGCCGGTCACGTAATACGCGCTGTTGGCTTAAGCGAACGCATTTAGGTACGACAACGAGTACTTTGGCTAATTAAATGATGGGCCAAGAAATATAACTGCTAGGCTAAAGTGCCAAGGCTAATTGTGGGTGGTGGTTCGGGTATAAAAAGGGCTGTTCATCCAGCAGTTGTCATCAGTTTCGTTTGCCAGCAAATCAAAACAAGTCAATCCACCAAGATGTTCAAGTTCTTCGCCGTCGCCCTCTTCGCTCTGATTGCCTGTGTGGCTGGAAAGCCCGGAATCGTGGCTCCTCTGGCCTACTCCGCTCCTCTGGTGGCTGCTGCTCCGGCGGCTGCTGTCTACAGCCGGGAATACCATGGAAACTTCGCGGCTCCCTACGTGGCATCGCCCTATGTGGCCTCTCCCTATGTGGCTTCTCCTTATGTGGCGTCTCCATATGTTGCATCTCCCTATGTTGCATCTCCCTATGTGGCTGCTCCCTACACCGCTCCCCTGCTGCTAAAGAAGTAAAAAGAATGATTAAGGCTTAACTGGAAACGAAAGGACAACAGGAACCGACATAAAGAAAAAAATAAGGGAATAAAGATATTATACAAATTGAAAAAAATTGTTTCTTTTGCAATAACATTTTATTTCAGGAAAGCTTAAAAAAAATTTTATAAGTTTTAAGCTATGTTTGACTGCCAAATTAATGGATCAAATTTACTTATTTGATTTATTATCATTAAAAAGAAGTTGTAAACTGCAATTAAAACGATACTAAAAACGTTGGTAGACATAGGAAAATTCAAAAAAGCCTTATAGTTGTTTATATTTTACTGATCTGTCACTTGTTTTTTCAAGGCCCTTAGTTATCAGAACTCGGAGGCATACAGGAAGTCTGATCTCTGGTGCAACGTCGCTTTACAAAAAATATGCAAGTATTTCTCCTCTTCCCTAACTGATTTCTTATCAATTTCTTTTCCGCATTTTGCATTGCAGTGTTTAACTAAGAAAAATATGTTTATTTAAAGATCATGGGCAGCAAGAACTTAATTATACATACATGTTACGTCTTATGTTTCTTATTTAAATGTACAATTTTTTAATCACGAAATTTAGTTTTAGATATATTTATTATTTACTTGTTTCAAGTTTTTAATCAGTTTTATCATTTATTTGGCAAATAATGCGGCTAGGATTAATTTCACATATATTTGGGATTTAAACAGCTTTGCTTATTATATACCGATTTAGGAAGCATTATATTTGAGGTTTCGGGTGATTACGATATATCAGCACTGCCCAGGGTAAGGTTAGCTTCCATGGTGGCATTAGAGTGAAAGACAATGCTGCTGCGATCGAATCGACCAGATCGACCATTTTTCAGATACCTGAGCGCTACAAGCGCCACCACGCCCACCAGTACCAGACCGCCCACTATGTAGGCGAACACCTGCATAAATGCCAGATGAAGTTCCAGATTCTTCGAATGCGATCCGAGTATATCCAGCTGCCTCGTCAACATCTGGCTCTGGGTCTCCAGAAAGGACTCCTTGGCGCTGAAGGAGGCATTTAACGTCAGTTGGGATTGACTGATGCAGGATACATCTCGGATGTGTGGAGTCTCCTCCAGATTGCTGTCCGGTTCGATATTCAGCACCACCGATTCTGCCAGCGAGGGCGAAATGAGCAGGTGGTGCAGATAGGAGCAATTGAAGCGGTTCCTCGAAACTCCCAATTTCTGAAGCTGGGGAAAGGCGTCCGAAAAGGTACGATTTCCTCGCAGCTCAGTCATTCCATTGCCGTCAATCAGGAACTTTTTCAGATTAGTCAAATACGGCACAAACATATCCAGATTGAGGCTGGTCAAGTTGTTGAACGATAGATCCAGTTCCTCCAAGTACTTTTGCTTCGAAAACATTCCAAACTTGAGCTCTCGAATGCCAGTTCCTCGCAGATTCAATCCCCTAAGTCTCTTTAGCTGCGAAAATGTGCTGATATTGAGTGGACCAATGGGATTATACGACACATCCAGATATAGCAAGTAAGTGATATTTGTGATGTTGGATATGCTGGTCAATCTGTTGGCACTCAAATCCAACGTTTCGATATGCAAGCTCTGGTAAAGATAAAGCTCCGAAATCTGATTGTGACTGGCGCGAACAAATCGCGTTGCATTAATGGTCAAACTCGTCAGATTGTTATTATCCAAGTGCAGCTGATGCACTATATTTTTCTCCGTCAACTGGAAACTTTTCAACTCATTGTATGACAACACTAGATTCTCCAAGCTAGCAGCATCGGCAAAAGTATCCGGATGGATGGAAACCAGTTGGTTGTTGCACAAATTCACCTCCTTGATGCGCCGCATATTGCGGAAAATCTCCGGTTGAATGCTGGTCAGTAGATTTCCCTCGAAGGATACTTTCTCCAAGTACATATTATCCTTGAAAATGTCGCTGTCCAGCTCCTTCAACAGATTGCCGGTGAGAAAAATCTGACTTATGGCATGCAGGCCACAGAAAGCATTCACGCTCAGCGTAGAAATTTGGTTGTAGGACAGATCCAAACGCATCAGGACATTGGCTCCAATGAAAACAGAGGTCTGAATGGAGGTCAGATTGTTGTAGGCCAGATTCAAATAGGTCAGATTGCTGGCCGCACTGAAGGCATTCCTGGTGAGCTCCAAAATATTCGTATTCGAGACGTCCAGGGTCTTCAGATACGGAAACGTTTCGAACAGATGGAAGGGCATATATAACAGCGTCGATTCGTAGAACTTCATGAACTTGACCATATTGCCGGGGGGTATATTTTTGATCACGATATTCTGACTATGAGTGACCGTGAATCCGGTGACTGTGCAAAAAGCCTCGTTCACGTCCATAAATCCCATGGAATCGTATTCGTCGCATCCTAAGGGTATATCTCCACCATTGGCCCTACTATCCGATATCGTTAGAATAAGGATAAGGATCACGACGAGGATCCTGCGCGTTTTATTCATCTTCTTAACGAACCGCTCTCCTTCAATTAATATTGCAAACTGCCTGAATGCAATTTCGCCGACTGCACTCCAGCCTCCAATCAATTATGTATTTAAATGTGTGCATATATTCGACTTTATCTGGCTCCCTTCAAGATTGTCAGCTTTCAGTAGTCCAGCGCCGTATAGTGATAAAAATTGTCGGTCTGCACTTTGTTTTGTTTATACTCTTATAATGGGTAATATCATCGCGGTATGTTATTTTTTTAATATTAAGACAATGAGCAAACTTTACGTTTCAGTTAATGTGTAACAACATCATTATCTTAAAATTAAAAAAATAACAGACCGATCTGATATTACCTAATTTACAAAACAGGACAAACGAGCAAAACTCAATTACTATTATAAGTCAAAACTCGGATTTATCTGAAAATATCGAATGCTTAAATAGGAAACTATTGCAAATCTTATAAATTTGTTGGATACTACTTATATATATGGTGGATATCTATAATATATTTTTTGTGAATATTTGGATTTGTTTTTTAGCCGCAAAATTAATGTAAATACGTAGTAGATTCAGGTTAACACTAATAAGCCTTTGAGTAACGGAAGCTAAACTTATAGATCTCCGATTGCCACATTACAGATTGATTTGATTGTGTAAAGGGTATGTGTTTGCTCATCCTCGGCACATAACAGTGCCCTTTTTAGCCCTTCTATCTGTCTGGTTTCGTTTTATCCACCAGAGATATATGACCATGCTTCGATTCCGAGTGGCTGGTAAGTTGAGCTTGACTCTTATTAAAAGCTGTCTGCTAACTATAGTCGCACTGATAGCTTTCGACGAATCCCTCGCAATTGCATCTCTATCTGACCAGTTGGTTTAATGACCTCCCCGAGCGCGTAACTGCCTTTTTTGGGCAGTGGGCGGGATTGAGCCGTTGCATCAGTAAGGCAGATTCGATTTTGGCAACAGTGGCGGAGGATCTGGGCGTGGGTTTCTGGGTCTCGATTGCATAAAGTCGATTGCATTCGGGGTGCGTGGAACGTAACCCTGTAACACTCCACTCGCAATCGGATTAGAGCGGGACATCGCATCGCATCGCATCGCATCATTGATTACCGGCCAACTCTTGGCACAAGAGGTTACTCATCGGCAATTAGCTTTGTCTGGTGGCATCAATCACATCGGGCTACTGGTTGTTACCTTCGCGGCGACAACGTTTATGGGCCCACAATGCGGACGTGCCCGAAATAATGGATGGGTATGGGTTCGAATTCCGATTTGGACTCGGATTTGGATCGACCTCCCCGGCGGTGGGCACGTAGCCAAACGGCAAATTGAGCCACTCAAAGGCCGCTCTGCATTCCCATGCAGGCGGTATATAGAATCATTCGCCCGATTACCGTGTGTGCCCAGAAATTCAAGCATCCCCTTGGAGTTCCAGTTCCCGGGGGCTATAAAAGTTGCCTGTCCAAGCGAATCAAGTCATAGTCCAATTTGCTAGCTCAAATCAAACTAAGCCAATATGTTCAAGCTGGTAGGTGTTTATTTTGTATTTCTTATAATTGATTGGCTCTTAACTGGTTACTTTTGTGTTGCAGACTGCCCTCGTTGTCCTGTGCGCCCTGGTGGCCTCCTCCGTGGCTGAGCCCAAGCCCGCCGTCTTGGCCGCCGCTCCAGTGGTTGCAGCTGCTCCTGCGGGAGTCGTCACTGCAACCAGTTCGCAGTATGTGGCCCGCAACTTCAATGGAATTGCCGCTGCTCCAGTTGTTGCTGCCGCTTATACCGCTCCAGTTGCCGCTGCCTATACCGCTCCTGTTGCTGGCGCTTATACCGCTCCAGTTGCTGCCGCTTATACCGCTCCAGTTGCCGCTGCCTACTCGGCTTATCCCTATGCCGCCTACCCATACTCCGCCGGCTACACCACTGTTTTGTAAGAAAGATTAGCAAGGACTCAAAACAGATTCGAAATGGACTAACAATAGACCCAAATGGAAATAAAAAGCAAAAAAACTAAATCTTAAAAACATTTTTCCTGGGAAGGGTATGGTGGTTCTCAAATTTTGAAAGTTCTATTAGTCTTCAGCGGCTTCTTGGATTCATATGGATTATAAAAACAGACATTTTAAAAGTTATGGATTTTTTAAAGAGCATTTAATGTATTTACTTTTTAAATTAAAATAATGGCCGCAAATATTCGTAAATATGGCCCAATCCTTTTTTAGCTTTTGTTTACAGCGAATAATCAATAGCTTAATAAATAATAAATACGTTTTTTTTTTTACTTCAAACTTACTGGTAATTATTTTTTAGGAAGGGAATAGAATATTGAACCAACTTTGTCCCAGAACTAAAATATATATAAAGTTTCCGAGACCAGTATTTAAAACCTATATGTGGCTGCACTTTCAAGCTCTTAAAGTCTTAAGTTAAGCCCGAGTCTGCCCACTGAAAATGCGGAAATCAACCCAATAAATGCCACATGGGTTGCGTCATGAGCCGTTGACCAAACGCAAATAGAAAAAGTGATAGATTCCTCCTAATTGATGCAGAGCATTTGTCGTAGGAGAGTCACGTGTTTGCCATTTAAAATTTGCCAACTGAAAGTTGCGTCAACCATGAGTAGATAATTATGCATCATGTGTCTAAAAATATATTTCATTGAAGGTAGCCAATAACAAAGTGGGTAACAGTAACAGGTAAAACAATTCAACAGGAAGGACAACAGTGTCCTTTGACCACTTTGTGAGGAGTGGAAGGACGAGCCCCTAAACAGCCACTATCTGGACGGGAATGGAGGCGCTGAAGCGTCCGAATGGCAGCCACGCAGCTGGGTAGAACAAAGGATAGTTCAGCGGCGGTGCAGAGCCCACAGGTGGTGGTGGTCCCAGTGGCTGAGGCTGTGGTGGTGCAGCAGCTCCAGCTGCCTGAGGCGGTGGTGCAGCTCGATGGGCAGGCGGCACATCGATCTCCTCGGCAGCATCCTGAATCTGACCCGCAGCTGCCAAGTGAATCAAGAGGAGGAGGAATAGAAGCGCCACCTGAAATGGCCACCGATGGCGAGGCCTCATCATCTTTGAGCAACTGCATCGACTTATCCGCAGAGAAGCGCTTGAGACTTACTAATTTCCTATACATGGCTGATAAGATCTGATTGCTCAACGTTCTAAAAACGAAATAAACATGTTGCGAGCCACAGAACCCAGCTTTATAAACTTCTGAACCGAACCCGGCACTTTTTGTAGGTCATTTCAAGACTTTGCCGATCGATGGATCAATATCCAGCCATGTTTAGCATGCAAAACACGCCCACACATTCGATTTAATTTTCGCTTTTCGTCACGCTTTTAAAAATACCAAACGAAACCAAAAGTGCAAAGCCATAATGCTCAAGATTCTCCTTGGTTGGCTGTGAAATGTACTTGGAACCGAACTGAGAATGGTTTGTGCATACCAATGGCTCTTGGCATCACCTTCATTGTTTTGTTAGGCTTGGAATTTTCACGACCGATTCTGCTATATATACCCGAGGGCCTGGTGTCTAGGAGATATCAGTCTAGTACTTGAGAACCAACCGTTCGCAACTAAACAAACCAATCAACATGTTCAAATACGTAAGGAGCAAAGGATAACTGGATAAGCAAAGATCAATGGAATAATTATAATCGTTTTTTTATATTTATAGTTCGCTCTGTGCCTGTTCGCCATCGTGGCCTGTGTGGCTGCCAAGCCGGCGGTGATCGCTGCTCCTCTGGCCTACAGCGCCTACTCCTCGCCCTATGTGGCCGCAGCCCCTTACTCGGCTGCCTACACCGCCGCTTACACCGCTCCAGTGGCCGCCGCCTACTCCGCCTACTCGTATCCCTATGCCTCCGCCTACTCCGCCTATCCCTATGCCGCCTACTACCGTTAAAAAGGCAAGGACTGAGGACGAATAATACCCTGACTGCTAAACTGGACCTGAAAAAATCATCTATTACAACAAGGATACTTCCCGACTAGCCAAGATCTAACCGCCTACTACTACATCCCAGTGATTTCTATCTACATCTCCCCTGGTATTAGTTCGGCAGAACTTCTATCTTTCCCACCTCTGCTGACTGCTGAAAGTTAAGTCATGGGAACAGGACACACCATTGTAAAAGGAATATTATTGTTGAAATAAATACTGCATTTTGCGTGAAACGTAAAGAATTTATGGGTTCTTCTTTCATAACATATTGAATTTTATGTGGTGTTTCATGTATAATCACATACTTTTAGGCAGCATAGGTTTAAATTAGCTTATGTATAAAGACCTCAACAAAACAATCTTTTTTAAGAATTCGTAGGCTCAAATACATGTTAACCCAGTAACATTTTACCACTAAAAAGTATTACGTAACATGGTGGCTAATTTAGACAAATATATGCGTGTCCATCATTGTACATTTTAAAACAATAATATGCTTACATTTGCGCAATTTTGGTGAATCATTATTTATTTTTCAAAATAAAACTTGGAAACTTAAATTATTTTAAGTTGTAGACAGATAACTTATTTTTAGTTTAAGAAAGTTATAAATGAGTACCTTAATATATAGTTTTAAGTAGTTTAAAATAAAAACGTAAAAATTTAGAAAATGACTTTATTTTTAAAATAAAATTTGTCTACTAAAATTATTTAACCATTACCTTTATTCATTTTTAAGCTGTTCTAAAACTAAAACATTAGTTTCAAAATGTCACAATTATAATTTGTTATATTAAACTAGAAAATATGAAGGAAACTGCGTTCGCAGCTGTGATGGCTATGTTTACGTTGGAAAACACTAGAAGGGTCAACTTGTCTGCCGGTTTATTGAACTCCCCAAGCCCTTGATCCGTTGTTTACGATTTACGATTGGTTGTCCTCCACCTTAACCCAAAGGTTCAAAACGATGACGTCCTTCGAAACTGGATAAGCCGCTTCTATTTTTATTTGCATCCCTGATTAGAATGCAAAGCGGCGCTTTCGAGTGGCTGACAATTGAAACGTTAAGAGTGAGCCGCACTCCGAAGATGGCCAAGACGGTTGGGATGGCACGCACGTCTGTAGTCCACAAAACGCACTGAGTGTTAAATTATGATAATTCAATCCGCAGCAGGCAGCTGCTCTGACGCCAGTCGCGGAAATGCTCAAGTAGTAGGGGCGTAATAAAAACATTTATTGAAAATAAATTCACAAGAAATCCGTACTATCTGCAAGCACACCAAACACTAATCTGCAAATTTTAAGTGTGCTAGTAAAACCAACCAAATTGTTGGCCCTGATTTGCACTTGCTACGTGATGGAAATGATTTAAACTTTGTGGGTTTTTTTTTAAGCCGGGCTTTGCCAAGGATAAAATTGATATTTGAGTATATAAACCCAGTCAAACATGACAAAAGACATCAATCAGTAGTCTTACTTCCAAGTTAACACAACCAACATAAGCAAAATGATGAAATTCGTAAGTTGAACTATATTAAGTATAAGGATCAGTGAGATTTTGGCTTTAGAAAATCAGGATCGAAAACAAAAATAAAATCAAACGCTTCATTAAATTAAGTTATTAAAGATAATTTAAATTTGTGTTTAAATCTAAATTTATTTTATTTTATTTAAATCAAAATTAAGAAAATAGCAAAAACATTTTTTTTAAAACATATTGAAAGAGTTCCAACTTCCATCTTAAAATTCATTTAAATTTGTAAATCAAGCTGAATTGCATAAATTATTTATAAAATAGTTTTTTTAATTATGTTTGTTTTATTAAGAAATTTGTTTTTTAATTTATTTATTTATTAAATTTAATTTAAATTTTCTGCAGTTCGCCGTCGTCCTGTGCGCTCTGTTCGCCGCCGCTGCTGCCAGTCCGGGTTTGTTGGCCTACAACGCCCCCCTGACCTACTCCACGCCCCTGGCTTACAGCTCTGTGCCCGCCGCCGCCCCCCTCGCCTACACCGCCGCCTACACCTCTGCCTACGCCCCCTACGTGGCCCCCTACGCCAGCAGCTACAGTGCCCACAATGTGGCCCACAGTGCCGCCTTCCCAGCCGTCTATGCTGCCGCCCCTGTGGCCACCATCCTGAAGAAGTGAGAAGTCCTGCAAGCTGAAGGGATCCCACAAGTACGGCGCACGTGTCTGTCAGTCGTCGTCACTGTCACGGACTCAGATACAAACACTGATGGAGATACACGCTCCGAGGCAAAGACAAATAAAAACGCAATGCATCAGGCCCACGCACTGAACTACTGAGAAAAGGAACGAGTTTTATTCTTTCCGTTTGAAATTAATTTTGTTGTGGGAAGTGGGAATTGTGCTTCATGGAAAAAATTAAGTACAGCCTGAAATATTCATTGGAAACTAGAAACAAAGCTATTTTTATAAATACTTCAAAGTGATTATCCGCAAAGCTTAAAATACTTATATATGTTCGGGAATTTACTTTGTCAAGTTGTATAACTGTTAACAAAATAGTCTAACAATTTTCTAAGAATTTTATTTACAAAGGTAAACAATAGGCATACAAAATTTTTAATTATGAAAATCATCTAGTAGTTTATCGTAATTTCCCATAAAGAGCGCATAAATTAACTTTCACTAGTTCATAATAATCGGCAATAGTAATTTTTTGATTTTACCCCTTTCTAAATTTCTGAAAAGTGACTTTGCAGAAAAGTGGCCAAAAAGCTGCAGTTATAATTCTATAACTTTTCACACAGACATCCCATTCTGAAGTGGTATATCTTTAAAGTTTTGTGGCTTTATTCTCTAAAAATCTGCATTTAAATTTTATTTTTTGTACCATTTTTGTTATATGAATTTTTTTGTTTTGGGAGCAATTTTGTGTAGCATGAATGCCAAGCCTTAATTTGAAGCTTTTTGGCTGAGTAACGGGTATCTTATACTCGGGAAACTCAACTTTAGCGTTCTTTCTTCCTTTCTTGTTTTTAAATTGTTTCCACATGAGTGACAGAGAGTCCTTAAAGGGTGTTTTCAACTCATGCCTGCTTGTGTGCTTTTTTCCGGTTCATCGACATTTTGCCACGTTTCTCGGCGTAATCCTTGAGCTGTGTTTACGCAGTTCGTACCCCTTTACTACTCTGGCCCTTCATAGTTTATATGTTTAACTCGCGGCATTGTTTATCATTTTGATGGCAAGTCTGCTAGTTGCGTGTGTTCTAGCTCAGAGGTCGTTGGTTGGCTAGTTGGTTGGCACTGCCACTGCCACTGCGAATATTGCACTCAATTAAAAGGCGCCGCTTGAATTGCATTTCGCTAATCGCAAACAATCAATAAGTTAAACGAAACCACGCCTCCAATCAACCCACTTCGCCAACTTTGGCATTAATCATAGACTGCGTTCAACCGGCAAGAAGTATGAAAATCAAATCAAGAGAACGACATTTAACTAAAAACTAAGTTTTGCAAATTAATTCAAGACATTGAGTTGCTGATTTGAAATTTACGTCGATGTTTTCAACGCCTTTTATACGCCCCCCTGGGAAACCTCCCCCCATCTGCACGTGTTGTTGCAGTTCTTGCAACTAATTTACTTGTTTGTGGCTGCAGTCAGAAAATTAAATTAAAATTTTAGCGCTGACTTTTGTCTTGATCGTCACGCCCCATTAAAAAGGTGGCCCCTCGCAAAACTCGTGGCAATTTATAATTGCCGAAGCCCCAATTGCACTTAAATGTTCCGTTTCCCAGGCTACAGTTGGGGGTATTCTATAAATGGTTTGCTTTTAATGGATTTTGCTTTATAAATAGTTTTCATTATGAAAAAAGCAAGTTTAATATATATATATATATATATGTATAATGTAGGTTCTATTTAAATAACCTTCTGTTAAAAGTGTTACCTGTTTTGAAAGAAACTATTAATTTATACTAATGCATTTTAAGTAATTTTAAATAATAAATAAAATAAAGACAAACGAATTGAGTAGCCTTGCATTATTAAATTGTATTGTGTTCCCCGTAAAATTAAAGGTATCCCCTTTTAAATTGTACCTATAAATTCCCACCTACCTCCAATTAGCTTTACGCATATGGAATTTATAAAAACGGAGACTTCTAGGCCCATATGCTTTAATTACCCCCTGCCGTTTAGCGACTGCTCGAGCGATTACAACAATCTTGTCTAATTGACAGTTGTACACTGTCATTCGAGAGCATTGAAACGATAATGGCTAGTCTGCGTCGATTAGAACTTGCTGCGATCAATTTGCGGAGACATCAATAAAAAACCCGATCCGAGAGCGCTCGCATTTCAAGTCGGGTGCCCAATAAATTGCATTTTGATTTAATCGCTGTGTTGCACAAGTGCCACAAAATTAATTGCCAGTGATTTTTCGCACTGTGTAGATATCAGCCAGGCAGACACCAACTGTGTGTCGAGCCGGATCTCGGGAGGCTCTTAATTGAAATGCTTGGCGAGTTTGATTTACAGCCCAAAAGCGCAAGTCGGGTGGAGAACTTTGGCTAGCAAAGTAGCCAGCGCCCACACGACGTATGCGTATGCAAATCCCCCACGAGTTACGCATTGGGACTGGGAACATGGGCCCCAGGTCCTCCCCCCTTTTTGCCCCTCTGAGTCCCCTGTTGTTGTCACCAGCGTTTTGCCTTTCCATTTGTCCGCAGGCTTTTTCTGGACGAGGCTTAGCCTTCTGCTTAACCCTTATGCGACTAGTGTGGCCGATAGGTCGTATTCTTTAATTAAGCAATTCATGGTGAGAAATTGTAAATTTATTTAAATAAACAAATTTTGATATGCTTAGATATTTAAAAAAAAATTTCATAAGAGTATTAAATAAATAAAGTAGGTAATCCCTATTTTAAATTATCAATTCTTCGTCTACTGGCGTATTTTAAAAAGAGTTTTTAATAAACGTAAGCAGAGAACATTTTATTAGCAACAAATTTAAACAGAACAATTTTAAAAATGGTTTTTGGGTTGAAAAGTACAAAAATGTTTATTTATTTATTATGCCCATAAAAAGATTAATTGTTAAGCTACTTTCTATGTGTTATTTTTTAATTTAGGGAAAGTTTTTAAAGTTGGAATAATTTATTTTCAGCAAAAATATGTAATTGAGTCTAATATAAATTGACAACAGGGTTAAATTCACGCATGCATTTGTGGGTTCGACTATCGCCTGCAGGGCGGGGATTTCAACAAGTGCTGGAGTCCCCGTTCCCGGCCCCCTTTGCCCCTTATTTAACTCCTTTTAAAACCTCGCCCCTCTCATAAGTGTTAAGTGCTTTGGGCTTGCGTAAAACGCTGTCTCAAAATTATGCATAGAGTGGGTCGCTGGCAATTAAGTGGCAGCCGCAGTTTCTTCGGCATTGTTGCTGCTGTCGCATGAGTTATGGGTGCACCAGATCATAATTTGCCTCCGCCAGAGGCGTAGTTTGTGCCAGGATCCCCGCTCGCTCCACCAATAACGACCTTGCTCACGCCCCTGCCTTCAATCGTTTATTGTTCTAGACGCACATGTGCCACACTGGCTTTGGCTGTGCCCCACATAAAACGATCTCGAGGCGGATCTGGTTTTGCTACGGTTTTACGCACAGGTGTGTAACTGCCACGCCCCATTTATTGCCGGCCTGTGTTGTAATTAAGACTTCGACTCTGAATGCTCGAGCATTTACTGCGAAAATTTCTACCAGCATAATAGGCTCACGCATTCGCAGCGGTTCATTTAAATGATTTTAAACGCCGGAATGAGCGAAACTTGTTGGCTGCACGAAAATAAATGCCTACAAGAACCGAAAAAGGCAAGATACAAAATGCAATTTAAGTTTTTCTCACACACACCTTGTCGTGGCTGCGGCATAAGGTAAATAGACCAAAAACAAATTTATCAGAAATTATTCAAAATCAAAACATAAATGGTTGGTTCCTCGCAGAGGAAATACCCTGTTTTGGGAACTTTATATATATATTATATATTAAACTTAACTTAAATTTAAACTGTTTAAACTGTTTTTTAAAGAGTTTAAAGGTTCATGGGTTTTAATAATTGTTTTATTAATATGTAAATTTACTGGGTAGGTACAAAAGATGAAATGTTGAATAAGTACTCATAATTTCTTAGTAGTCGATATTTAAAATTTGTATTCTTCTACTAATAAATGTGCAATTAATAATATCAATGTCATGGATGTAAATATTAATTTTTTACTCAATTTTAGAATTTTTCGTTTTGAATTTCATTCATTGCGATTTTTAGTTATTTTAAATAAGAAAATACACAAATAAAATGCATTGTATTCAATATAATAACTTTATATTTTATTGAAATGTTAAACATAAAATGTTGAATTCAATAGTCACATATTTATTTTTATTCCATTCAATTCACTTATTTAATATGAATTCATTGCTTAATGAGGTTTTGAATTCTCAATAAAAGGTCAACTACTTTTGCTTATTCTCTTTCATAGAACTAATAAGTAAATTTATTTAAAGTTTGTTGGGTACTGGGCTTATAAATTTATTTACTGTCTATTTATAGAACAATATGGTTAAGAAATCCTTTTCCTTGATAAATCTTGCAACCCCTTCAGGAAGGGTATGGCTCAATCTCAGCCCAGTCAAACATCCGCGTTGTACAGGGCGGGGCAAGGCGGTTTTGTGGCGGGTCCCAGGCCCAGTCCCAAACCCAAGCTCAATCATCTATCGCCATCTCGATACCCGACCGGCCAGCTTTGCATGTGGCTCTCTTGGACGCAGTTTTGGGCCGGGTCTCTCCATTGAACAAAAGTAAAAGTCTCTGGGTCTCTGGTCTCCAGCTTGGATACGTTCTCGTGCAACATTTTGGCCAGGTCTGTGGGCTATAAAAGCATTTGTGCCTTAGACAGCGGCATTATTCAACATTGTGTTCTTGCAACGAGTTCAACTTGCACTAAAAAACCCAAAATGTTCAACTACGTAAGTGGAATTGAAGTCCTTTCGATATAGTTATTCTAATCCATATTATTTTTTTTTACTAAAAAATAGTTTGTTTTTGCCGCTTTCTGCCTGGCCAGTGCTGCTGCTGCTCCGGGTTATTTGGGCGGACTATCTGCTCCGGCTTTGCCACTGGCTGCAGCTGCTCCGGCCATCTCCTATGGACACTCCCTGGCAAGTCCTTCGATCGCCTCCTATGGCCTGGCTCCTAGGATTAGCTATGCCTCCCCAGCTTTGGCGCATGCTCCGTTGGCTGCTCCGGCCATTTCGACCTACGGATTGGGATATGGCCATGGTCCCATTGGCCTGACCCACGGTTCCTTGGGCCTGGCCCATGCTCCTTTGGGTCTGGCTCATGGTTCCCTGGGTCTGGCTCATGGGTCCTTGGGCCTGGCCCATGCTCCTTTGGCTGCTCCCTTGGGACTGGGCTACAAGACGGCCTATCCAGCTCTGGCTGCTCCTGCCTACGGACTTTCCCATGGTTGGTAAAGGGACTCAATCCCATACAGCAACGTTTTCTGCATGGCTTTCGTTTCGTTTGGATCGGATAGGGAGGAGAAGGAAGAATACACAGAGAGAAAAAAAGAGAGAGAGAGAGAGAAATTAGTAGAGGTTTTGTGAAACAAAATCAAATTATAAAAAAATTATCGGAAGAAGTGTTGAAATATATTTCGTTTGAATTAAAAATATATGAATTCTGTACATACTCTGTTAAAAGTCTGGGGCATATTTATAAATCACAAGGATATTCAAGCTTCTGTCTGGAAAATCAGAAAAACTCTTCAGAAGCAATTATTACACACTTTAGAAAACACACTTTAGATTTATATTTAGGTAAGTTTAATCATTGGGCTATACTTCCTATTTCTTACGGAGAAAATTGAGAGCAAATCATTCTAAAGGCATCTATGTTTTATTTTAAAAATATGAATTTAAACCCATAAATATTCAAATTAGCTTTGACCAAGTTTCGAAAAACCTATGATCAGTGAAACTAGTTTTTTATACAGTGTTGCTTTGTCTTTATTGATTTATTGACTTGCTGAGTGATTGACTGATTAAGGCTATCGTAATGTTTTGGGTACTGCGAAGTAAATGACTTGTTTGGAAACTCTCACATGTTGCACGCTCGCCTTGGCTCCACTTGACCTGACCGCACTTGGCCTGGGTGCACTGCATCTCTACCAGCCATGGCCATAGCCGTAACCCAGTCCGTAACCCAGACCATGTCCGCCGTACAGTCCATGTCCGTAGCCACCCAGATATCCGTGCTCCAGGCCGTAGCCATAACCACCGATGATCGTCTTGGAGATGATGGGTGCATGGTAGCCCAATCCCAGTCCTCCGAAATGTCCACCGTAATGGCCACCGTAGTGACCACCATAATGCCCGAATCCTAGACCCAATCCCAGGCCATATCCACCGTAGCCATGTCCAATGCCATATCCAATGCTGGGCGAAGGAGCTGGAGCAGGAGCAGGAGCTGGTTCTGGAGCAGGATCGGGAGCAGGAGCTGCCAGACTGCAGGTCGTTAGGCAGAGGATCGTCACGAGTAATAGCTGAAATTAAATAGTTTTTAATTTCCTAATGGTTGGAACATATCATAATTCGTGTGTTTTCAGGATATTTTAAGCTCTAAGGGATTCCCATTAAATATCCTTGCAACACTCACCCCTTTATTCATTTTACTGGTGGTAAATTTGGCGGCTGCTGCTGCAGAAGCTGACTAACCAATAGTGTCACTGCAGTTGATCCCAGCCCGGCTCTTTTATACCAACGCCCAGTGGACGGTGCAATGGTTTGCATCCCCACATGGACATCGATGACTTAATGAACGGCACCACAAAGTACATCTAATTCGATGAACAAGTTGCTTAAGTTAGTGGCATGCTGCTGTAAATAAAGGCAAATTCCAACACCTGTTTTTCGCCTTTTGGGCCTCCATTGTATAATCTTTAACTGTAATCAAGTTTGGCATTTACCAGTTCCAGTTTTTTTTCCTGTCCCGCGGGCATTTTCAATCTAATGGGTGGCCTTTTCCGTATATTCATTCATGTGACTCCGATCAGATCACATGATTAGATTGAGAACTCTGGTCTTGGGGTCAATGGACTTTGGATGTTTGGTGGGGCTAGAGATGAGAAACTAATTTGGTTTTTCTTTTTGTATATTCAACGATACTCTTAATAAACTAAGTCAAAATATATAATACAACCAACAAATTAATTCAATTTCGAAATATACAAAGTGTCTTTTTTATTTCTTTATTTAAATAAAATGTAAGCCCATTGCCACTTTAGCTATTTTGCATATTTTGTCTTACTTAAACCACCTTCTTTTTAAGGTATGCCCTAGTATAAGCATTAAAACTCCGATTATAACAGCTTAAACATTAAGAGCTCAAATCGCCGCCGAATAAAGTCAAACTAATCAATTCTTAACACCTCCGAAACCAACATAAAATAGCACGAAAGACACAAGATTGGGCAATGATTAAATTAAAAAAAAGACATAAAAACGGGGAAACAATGGCAAATCCGAAGACGTGCTACCAACTAACTCAAAACCCATAAACAAACAAAAACAGAGAGAAATGTAAGACAACAAAGCCAACGATATGCCATAATTAAGTGCACAAAAGAGTCACTGACTCTTTGACAATCTTCGGCGCAGACGCTTTAAACTTGAACTTGAAAACGGGTTTTTTTCGAAGAGAAGGGGACAAAAGGCCAAGTGGAGTAGTGCTCCCACTACACAGATGTTGCAACAGGTTCCCGGTGCCAAAGGAAATGCAGTTGGGAATCTCTGGGGATTGTCAACCAACCGGTTTCTAACTGTTTTAAGGAGGAAAACCAGCGATGAAGACGAGCCTATAAATTGATTGGCCTTCGGCTGATTTCAGTTTAGTTGAAGTGCAGTCCGAGTCAGAATCTTACCAGAGAATGCTCAAGGTAAACAGGGAATTCTTAGTAATTTCCTTTGAATTTCTTATCTTGTTTTTGTTTTTATAGCTCATTGTGTTTTTCGCCTTGTTGAGTGAGGGCCTGACCGCCACGGTCATTTACCATCACCCAGTGATCTATCATCATCCCGCGGCAGTTGCCTCCTCACGCCAGGAGCTGAACCAACATCCTGGCTACACCGTTGTAGCACCTCTCACCAAGATTGCCCACGTCACCTACGATTCCGTGCCCATTTCACACACGCCCTACGAACATGTTCCGCTCTTTCAGAGAATTGGTCATATCAAGCACAAGCGGTTTTAGCAGAAATTCAAACATATAATATATGAAATGTATATTAAGTTATGTGTAAAAAGATAAAAACACGAAATAAAATTGATTGTTAGGTATATAATAAAATGGTTTGTTTTTTAAATATAGTTTTATTTTTTAAATACTTTTTTTTGTAGTTACTAATGGTGTAGTGTTGAAAGTACCAAATATAATTTGATAAGTTAAATGTATGCTAATTTATTAAAATTGAATGTGTAGTACGATGTTATTTATGAAAGGGTAAAGGGGTAGATTAATGGTATAAAAATTATTATATTTTTGGGCGAGTTATATAGATAAATAGTATTAAAGTTTAATTTCCGGAAAACCAATGCTTAACCATTAATTAGAAATGTTACACCTACCATTAATAAATACAAACTGCTTACTGTCGTCGCTTTGTCAAAGCATTAATCATTTAAAACATGATTTTAGGATGTATACCCCAAGGTAGCTATGTTAGGAAATATCACTAAAAACAGCCATATGAATCGACCCAAGAAAAGATTTGATATAATATTGATTAATGATTTAATTTTTTATTCGCCAAGCATTGCTGCTCTCTAGGTATGAAGATTTGGGCTAAGTTCTACAAGCTAATAGGACGGATGGGAGTGAGCTGGGTGATCCGGTGAGCCTTAGATCCTTAGAAGAAGTAGGGGGCGGGGGCGAACTTGGGGGCCACAGCCAGAGGCGCTGGCACCGGAGCAGCCAGGGGGGCAGCAAAGGGTCCGAATCCAAACTTGGCGGGGGCGGCGAAGGCCACTGGCGCCGGAGCAGGGGCGAATCCGAGAGGAGCGGGGGCAGCGGCGTAGGCGGGCAGACCGAATCCAACCTTGGCGGGGGCGGCAAAGGCCACAGGAGCAGGAGCAGCCACTGGCAGAGGAGCGGGAACGGGAAGGGGGCCAGCAAAGGCCACAGGAGCGGGAGCAGGAGCAGGAGCAGCAAAGGCCACTGGAGCAGGAGCAGCCACGGGAACGGGCAGAGGAGCGGGAACGGGAGCGGCAAAGGCAACTGGAGCGGGAGCAGGAGCCACTGGATAGGCCACAGCATGGTTGATGCGGTGGGCATTGAAGCTGGAGGCATAGGGAGCCACCACTCCAGCAGTGGCCACAGGAGCAGCCACAGGAGCAGCCAGAGGAGCAGCCAGAGGAGCAGCGAAGGGGGTTCCCAGAGGAGCAGCTAGAGGAGCAGGAGCATGGAAGGGCAGGAGACCAGCCTGAGCAGAGGCCACGCAGAGGGCAACGAGCTGCAAAAAAAACATAAAACAATTAAATTAAAAACCCACAGGACTTTCCTTTCAAACTCACCACAATCTTGGCGAACATTTTGCTTGGATTAAGGATGGTTGGCTGGCTGTGATTAGCTGGAGGGCAGACTGAACTGTGATATCCAACTGTCGAGTGAGCAACGCTTTTATAATTCTGTAGCCCATGGATTATCCATGGACAAGCATACGAAAACACCTTGGAAGACTTTCTATATTGGGCATTGGATGAAGGGCGCTTGGCTGGATCGGCCCGCTATATGTACTTAATAATCAATCGGTCGCCTCTTACGTCGATCGCCCCCGAAAACTTTCATAATTGCACGCAATTCCCGACCATAACCTAGGCCAACATTGGGCAAGATTTCGTTGGATTCGCTTTATGACAGTCTCGGGTTGCGTTTCGTTTATATTTCTGCTGCCTTTTTGCTGCCTTTTGGTGGTGGGTGGTGCGACGAAATGAGCTGCAATTATTTACCCAAAATACGTGTTTCCCTCATTTAATTCAATTACCACTTTTGTTTATTTTGGTTTTTGTTTTTGTTACAACAATTGTCGCGTGTTTGGGCCGGGTTTGTGTATGGAATTTCGGATTTGATTTCTTGTTGCGTGCAGTTGGAAATTCACTAGCAACATTTCTGTTACTCGCTACAACGTGTGTGTGTGTGTGTTACCAATTGTATGTATGTACATATGTGTTAGCCGACCAACTGAAACCCCATTTGGCGACATTACGACGCGTCTGGTTCGTAATGAGAGTCTGAATCAGATATCAGTTATGTTTCTTTTGCCTAATTTTTGGTGTGCCTAGGATTTTATCATTCGCAGTTACATTCTTTAGCTTTTTGCTATTTTTGGTCTGAATTGCTAAGAATGTTTTGTGCAACTCGTAGACATTTTACATGATTAGGTTTTTAGAATTTGCTGTATTCGATTAATTTTTTTATGTAATCCCATTTAACTTAACAATCTTAAGTATTTTTAAACATCGTTTTATTTCTCTATAATTATTCGATAAATTATTGTTTTGTTTTGGTATAATTGTAGGTTAAAATTTAACATTTACTAGCTGACTTTGATGACTCTTTGGTGAGGTTTCCATCATCCTAATGGTGTTTTTGCATTGTCCTAGAACAACGAATGGTGATGGGCGAACTTCAAGGGCAGGGCTTTCAGGTGGGCGTGTGGCGCGGCTAGCAGCTTGGGGAATGCATACCCAATGGACACGCGGTGGGTGGTGGTCTTGGGTCCGGGAATGGCTCGATAGGTGGGTGCAAAGGGCACTGCCTCCAGGATGGGTGGCAGCACTTTGTGGGTTACGGTGGGCACATGGAACTCTGGCAGAAGTGGTGCAGCAGCTGGGAGGAAAGCAGGTGCAGGAGCGGGTAAAAGAGGAGCTGGTGCAGGTAAAAATGGTGCTGAAGCTGGTAAAAGTGGTGCTGGAGCGGGTAACAGAGGAGCAGGAGCTGGCAAAAGTGGAGCAGGAGCTAATACAGGTGGTGCAGGCCCATAAACTGGTGGTGCTGGGCCATAAACAGGTGGTGCAGGACCGTAAGCCGGCGGGGCAGGAGCAAATGCTGGTGGTGGAGCCACCGCTGGAAGCAAAGGAGCCGGCGGCGGAAGAACTGCCTCCTGCACCGCGTAATCCAAATGGTGCGGCAGAGCATGTAGAGTATCCAAGTGGTTCAGATGGTGCCCATCAAAGTGGCTCGTATGATGAGGATCAAAGTGGTTGAAGTGATGATTGAAGAATTGCGAGGGCTTGGCCTCACCACCCACTAAAAGGAAAGCCAATGCAAAGGCCTAAGGAAAATAGGTTCAAATTAATAAGTAAATCTATAATAAAGATTTCCTTTAATCCTCTTACCCATGTCAGTTGCCACATCTTGCTTGGGGGTTTAGTTGTTTGGTTTCTTTGGGGGATTAGCTTCGCGATCGATGTGCTCGACCTGTTGGTTCGGCTGTTAATGTCTTTCCATTGTCAAAATCCAATATTATTTATAGGGAAATAGAGAGGGTCTTCACTCAAAAGACTTGCACTTGCATTTCTTCACTTTCGTCGGCGACTTGGCCCACTCAACCTAATGGGTTGACTTGCTTTGAGGTGAGGTAACCCAATCCGCTTTAGTTGGTCAGCAAAGTCGTGACTGCGAATGCCATCGATCGAGGGGCCAATAACTTCTTGGGCGATTTGAAAGCACGGCCCAAGATTATATAACATGGGGCCAAACCGAGCCCAGGCATTGACAGTTCCCCATAAGTGGCATATGATTATGATAACCCATAAATATTGCTTTGACCATAAATAACAATCGTTATTGCGCCTTAGGTGGCAACGCAATCGTAACAAAAGTTGCTTAAAATCTGACTAACTTCTGTTGCTTGAACTTCCCTAAGGAAAAACTTTAATAAGCCAAATATGAAATGTCAGTTCTCGTAATCAAATTTATAATGCGATTTGAATTTATAATGCAAATTTGAATGTTTTGCAAATTTTAATAATGTAATGATTTAAAAAAACTCTGTTTTGGCCATAACAATGCAAAATATTGACCAAATATGGAATGGGATATCTTTTTTAACTCGAAATCATATGTACAACAAATTTCCATTCATATCTAAAAAAAAATATTTGTCCCAATTTTTGCAAAAAAATGCGAAAATTGACTAAAATATTTTTTTTCTAAATCAGCCACAAAGTTATGATGATTGTTAGAATAAGTCATGAGCTGCACAAAACGGCGCATCGCTTTGGACTTGCGTTTGACAATTTTAAATGAGGTTTTTGGTTAATTTAAAATGATTTTATTTGGGTCCAGAGGCCATTGTTTCCCAAATATCAAATATTAAATGGATATTTTTCAACTTTTCAGCTTAATACCAATATTTGCAGTCACATCTACTTAATCGGATTTTTCAGCTGCATTCTTAAGATAGCATATCAATAGATTAGGTTAAGTAGTTATTACCAATTATTTTTGATTCGCTAATAATGGCTAATCCAAAAATAAATAATACAGTGTTTTTAAGTTGTTTGTTCGTAATTTAATTTCAAGTTTGTTTACAAAAATTGTCTATAGTTTGGCTTGGTTACGAGGTGTGTCCTTAGACCACCACTGGAGCTGGGGCAGCGGCGGCGAAGGGAGCTGCATAAGGAGCGGCATAGGGAGATGCCAGATAGGGAGCAGCGTAGGGCGATGCGTAGGGATAGGCGGAGTAGGCGGCGGCGGCATAGGGAGCGGCATAAGGAGCAGCGGCCAGAGGGGCAGCCAGAGGAGCAGCAGCCAATGGAGCAGCAGCCAAAGGAGCTGCCAGAGGAGCAGCGGCGTACTTGGCCACTACGGCGGGAGCAGCTGGGATTCCGGACACATAGCGGCTGGAGTAGGGGGCGGTGAATTCGAAGGGAGCCGTGGTGTAAGAGGACAGGGTGCCGTCGTAGTTGTTGCGGACATCCACCTGGCTGCTGCCACCGGCGGCGTACAGTGGAGCGTTGGCGTAGGCCAGAGGAGCAGCCAACGGGGCCACAACTCCGGGCTTGGCCGCAGAGCAGGCAATGAGGGCAGCGAGAACCAACTGGAAAATAGGGATAATATCATTAATTTAATCCTTCTTTTTATGGTAGTACTTCCTCGAGTCAACTTACAAACTTGTACATTTTGCTGGTGGTGGGTTGGGTTTTCTAAAGCTCTTGAGCGATAATGTTCATTTGCAGCCAACTCAGTAGCTTATATAGCTCGTGCCCATATCCGTGCTCTTTGGGGGACATTCTGTCTGAGCCGATTTTTGGTCGCTTCTTTCGCTGGCCCACCTGGTAGCGTGCCAAGCGGCATACATGATCGCCACTTGGACAAGACGTGCTCCGCCTTCAATTGCCCAATGTATTGTCGGAAGTCGCTCGGATATTTGAATGCACTGAACAAAATGGTTTACTTTGTATGATATATGACATTCTACTATTTTACTTATCAAATTCTAACCTAGAACCATAGATGATTTTTAAGGAAGTAACTTAAATTTTCTCAATGAGTTTAAAGGGTTTTAAAGTACCCAGAAAATTATAGGAATTTTTATTTTCACCTAAATTATTTAGTATAATTCAATTTATATCAATAAAAGCAAGCATTTACGTAAGTTCTGAAAGTGTTTTATTTTGACTACAGCTTTAAGATGCTCAATAGGAAATTAAAATTTTAATGTCAACAAATTTAAACCGACTTTAAGTTGATATATTTACTGGAAAAAGAATAATTATACTCAAATATCAGAAAAGTATTTATTTTAAGAATTTAAAGTTTGTTTAGCTAAAATATAATTTTAAGTTTATTAAAAAATTTGTTTTAAGTGCACTGATCCACATTTGTATGCAGTTGAAGACTGCCTCGATGGTTGGGCTGTTTTGGCGTAATTTGCAGTCTGTTTGGGCCATCAATGTGCGCCGCCTTGCATTGAATTGGCCGCAATCTAAGCCAAATTGGCTATAAAAATCGCCAACACCCCCCAGGCCGCAATTCCGCACCACTAAATGTCTCATTAGTTCACTTTTTAATGGTTCGCAGGTTCGGCAATAAAAGGCGGTCGTAAATTTAGCTCTCATCCTTGCCGCCGGAGCTTCATTTGTTTTCGTGTTGACCTGACCTTGACGCCATCCGGTCACAGGATGTGATGTAGATGAAGATGTGGCTGTAGCTGCCTCATCCACCGGCTGGCCTGGCTCAATCATTTCGAGTCGGCTTAATTGGCCAACGAGGCGAGGGCGAGAAGTGGAGTGGAGTGATGAAGCTGCCGAAACCGGCTTGCGAACTTAATGAGCCATCGCAGCTCACTCGGTCACGTGCTGGCCTGGTCAACAGCATCTGGTGTGCTGATGCTGGTGGCTCTGCGATTTGCATTGTTGTGCTCTTTACGATTGGGGTATTTTCCCTACATACCAAGGCAAGCGAAAACGATCTTACAATGTTACAGCCCAGTCATAAATATACTCTTACAGATTTTGTTTAAGACTTCGTGTCAAATTTACCAAAGCTTTCCTTACTAACTAACTACCGAACCTTTTAAACGGATTGATAAAAAACGTTATTTATGAAGGGGGCGTTTCGGAAGAGAACTCCGATTATTTATTGCAGACTAATAGTCGTTGTTTGTCTTTAAAGATTGGTCTCTTGTGTTTATAATGAGATAATTATAAGTTCCATTTATTTATGAGTGATGCTGTTTTTTAATTTAAGCATATATTAACATATTTTCAAGAGATAAAATTATGAATTAAATTAAATCTTTGACACTTTAGCTGCCTTAAACCTATACTAAGCACATTTCTAAAGTCTTTAAAACAGTTTTTCAAGGAATAATTTACAATTTATAGAGGTTTTAAGTTAAAGACAGATAAAAAGCGACATCGACAGGGCATTTTTAAATTCGATAATTCACAACAGCTTCTGGAATCCGATCCGATGATGACGCTGATCTCAAGGCTGTTGCGATGACGAGTCGTGAGGGCAAGATATATATGTATACATATATATGTATCGAATTGCCCCACGCATGTAACTGTATACTTTATTCTGTATCCGCATTGCCGCCACTTCTGATCGGAGTGAACCAATCTTGGCGGCCAGCACAGCCACAGGTGGTACAGTTTGAGTCCGAGTTGTTAAGACAATTTCTGGACTGAAATTCTCGACCGATGATGCGCCGATTTTCCAGTGAGTCAAGCACGGAAATATATGTACCATCGCCATCACCTTCTTGTCTTCAGCACTCCACTTCAGAGCTGTGCGATCCGCTCACTTCCTAGTTAACCATTTGAATTGGATCGCAAGCTGATTTAGAGCCCCTCCAAGAAGCTTTATCCCTCTTAAGAATTATTTTAGCTGTCGTCAGTACCGTTTGCCTTAATGGATTTTCGAAAGCCAAATTTATGCAGATCACATTCGAATTCCTGTTTTTGTTTTCGCGGGAAAGCAGGTTCTATTCCCCCTGCAATAAATATTTGTATAAGTATTTCCAATCCCCAGTTCCGTTCCCAGAACTGATCAATGGCACTTGACTTTAATTGGCTTTCATAAATATACGTCAAGAGTTAGTCGCTCGCTTGATTTCATTTGTTTTCACAGCCATTTCCAATGCCAAGTTTAAGGTCTCATTATGAGGAGCGGATGATGGAGATCTCTTGGCCCGATTTTCGTGTGTATGTTAATGCCCAACATCAACCCATCGGAGGAGAGTGAAAGGTGCAGACCCCTTTTTTTTGTGTTGTCTTTTTTGTGTGTCTGCGTCGTCTCAACCTTCAAAACATTATGCAAATGCAGTCTCTCCATCGATGGCAATGAGACTAAAAATGGCCAATAAAAAGACACTCAACCAAAAGACTAAGCTTAGATGGCAAGTTTATTGTTATCAATGTGTGTATTCACTAAGAGGAGAAGTCATCGCAGTTTGATGATCAGTCGGGATGGCTCTGGCTCTGGCTCTGTTTTAAATGTATTATTATTCTAGGCATGTTAGGAAAGGTGGATCAGCGCCTCTGTATCTGCGGTGTTCCATAGGAAGTGAGGCCTGTGGTCCTGGGCACACTGGCGTAGGGTGCTCCAGCCTGCAGCGGAAGTTGCGCTACATTCAGTGGTGCAATGCCAAAGGGCACTGGCAACTTGAGGTTCAGCGAATTGGCATCCACCGAGGCGGAGGTTATGGAGCGACCAGTGGAGGATCTGGCCACCTGCTGCGAGGGAGCCACCTGAAGTGGCGCCGAGGGTGCTCCAAATACATAACCCTGACTGGTCAGAGCCTGGGTAAAGGCAGCCTGCTCCAAGGAGGGCTCGGCAAACTGACGAGCCACATGGGGATATTGTTGGTACTGACTCCTCTGGGCTGCTCTTTGGACACCCGGCCGATTGGGAGCTGGATAGTGGTAGTAGGCCAGCTGGGAACTGGGTGTAATAGAGTAATCCAAGTGCGAGACATCGGCCAAAGCCAGGCTCCAAAGTTGCAGCAGTAGAATCCACGCACAGGTCAACTGAAAGTGGTTTTAATTGAGTTTAATAGCTCTTTACACACACACACACACTCTTGTGCTTGTTAAACACTCACGTTGGGCGCCATTTTCACTTTCAACACACTTTCCCAGTTCTTGTTCTTAATGTCAACACTATTTAATCGACAATCGTTCGTTGATGTTCGCTGTCGCAGCTTTGGCTGCTGATTAAAATTTGTGAGCCAGCTGAAGATGCTTTTTATATGCGTATGGAGGAGCGGTGCGATCGGTTCTCACTCTCTCACTCTTTTCAGGTCTTCCTCTGGCTCTTTTTTTGTGTGTTTTTGTGAATGCTTTGGGCCAACACGAAGCTTTTTGGCATTTTGTTGCCTTTGTTTGTTTACTTTGTCCATTTGTTTGTGGCTCAACAAAGCTGTTGCCGGGCAGTTTTGTCTATTGATAATATTGATACTTGGCTGCCTTGCATATAAATCATTGTTGGTCATTTTTATTGGCATCCAAACTATGCCACTACATGAGTTAGCACTGGTTTGGAAAGATCGCTGAAAAAAGGGGTGAGGTGACTTATATTTTGGTAACAGCCCCCGTGGCTCCACCACTGTTCTAGACTTTGCTGCATAGCTTAGGCATGTCGACAGCATTAGAGCTTATTAAACACAAATCGAATCGAGCGTCATGTGACAGCAGGAGCCAGAAATGCCGCACAAACATAAAAGCCATTAGCCCCCAACCAAAACGGAGGACTTTGACGGAGCGGTGCGAGATTTGCATGCTAAAGACCCGATTGTTGTCCATATCTCGGTGTTTTGATTGTCGCTCTTGCTGTGTGGGTCTCTCGTCAAAGATTGACCTCAGCCGGCGGGACTTAATCAAAATCTATACGCATCTAATTATACGTGCACTGAAGAAAAAATGGGCGAACTTTCTAGTACAAAAATTTGTGTTAAATACATTAAAAGGTGGGATTATATTTTCTGTTAATATGTTATGATGGAATGTTTAAAAATTCATGGTTCAATATTTTGCATTCATATGTTTGATTTTATATTTTTTAAAGCTGAAAAATATTTAGCTTGGTAACAATATTCGTGAAGCTTTCATTGTTAAATCACCTAAGTAGTAAAAAATGTATAATTTATTTATTGTTAAATAAAATTTACTTTAATGTATCATTAATGTTGTAAATTTTTGAAGGTTTTAAGCAATTTTTAACCCTTTTTTGTTTTATTATACCTTTTTTTCAAAAACTAAGTTTTTAAGATGAACAGTTTTTCGATAACTGTAAAATATGACACCTATTAAAATACTAGTCAAACATTTAATGCGGAAATCATCAATTAACTTGATTTATGTATTCAAAACCTATGTTTGTAGAGTAAATAAGTTGTCGATCTTTAACTTAAAAGCTCTTAAACTGTTGACCCAAATCTCTTTCTCACCTTTACTCATTGAGTTAGGTCAGTTGGCCAGAAGTTGGAGTTAATAGCGGCAAATTTGGCATTATTTTGTCTGGGCCCTCTCAAAGTCATGCCTCGCCTTTGGCCAAAATTGACGGAGTCAAAAACTGCTTGGAGCCATGAAAACATCTGAATTATTTATGGGTTTTTTAATATAAGCATAATTTAATCGATACGTTGCGCGTTCTGCGCATAAATTCACGAACTGCGGATAATACAAAACATAACAACATTATTTAGATTTAATTAATTGCTAATTTGAGGAAATTATCATTCATAGTTATGCATAATGAGCCGGGGCCCATCTGGGGTTGCGGTTTCTCGAGTTACCAGCCCTGAGTAGTGGGGGGAGCCCCATAGACGGCAGCAGGGGAATGATGAGGTGGTGACCCAAAGTGGAGCTTAAATCTTCCGTAGGAGGGGGCAGCTGCAAACTGGTAACCAGTGGGCGGGGCCGCAAATCTGGCTATGAACTGCGGTGGTGCTGCTGCCGCAAATTGTACTGGCGGTGGTGAGGCATATTGAGCCGTCGGTGGTGCTGCAAATCCTGTATAAGTAGTAGTGGTGGTGGTTACTGGAGCTCCCAAAGAGTATTTAATGACTGGCTGAGGTGAAGCATAAGAAGCGGCATATTTAAAAATCGCCGGAGGAGAAGGAGCTGGAGCATAATGATCTGGAGGTCCATAGGTATTATATGGCTGACGAACGTTATAAACCGCCGGCACAGTCACAGTATCGGAAACGGGAACAGCTACCGGAGCGGGAACAGCCACAGGAGTGGGAACAGCCACTGGTGATGGAACCGGAAATGGTGATGGCACTGGAACTGGCACCGGAACTGGAACTCCCACGGGCACGCCCACCGCCGAAGGACCATGCAGGAAGCTACCCAAAACGGGTGAGCCCAGACACATCAGAACACATATCAAAGCACACTAAATATAAGAAAATAATTTGTTAAAATCATCACAAAAACACTTTAAATTCACTTGCTTTTGATGTTTGTATCATTTTCCTCCGTTATGCTTTCTTCCGTTTTCGATTTCCGTATTAAGTCACTTCTCTTCGACACTTTCACACGTAATGAATCGATTTTGGTTGACCATCGCAGGTTTATATACCACGATCAGAGTGGCGTTGCTCACATTATGCTGATTTCGGGGGCGGAGGAAGAGGTCTGGAAACTAGAGGAGGCGAAAAGAAAAAACTCCATTAAGGGATCTGCGCACGACGTGCAATCGACAAGCGAATCGTGCGGCAAATGCATGCGACAAGTTTTGCAATGCCCCATCCTCAAGGGAAATTCGGCGGAGGAGGGTTACCACTCACAGCCGGTGGTCAAAACTTTAAATGCGTTAATTAAGGTGAGTGCATACAATACCTTTTTTGCAATCACTTCTTTCCTTTAAAATACCTAATCGTTTACTATTTACACAATGACAATTATTATGGTCGATGATCAACTTAAGTTAAAATATGAATTGAAACGTAATTTCGATACATCTGGCAGCATTAAATTTTATCAAAGGCATAAATAATTTTATAGGAAAAACTACATAAGCCCTTGATTATTTTGTACAAGATTTTTAAAACCAAAAAAATGTCAAAAGTATTGTTTTTGGCATGAGTAAGTATTTTCTCATATGAAACTAATTGCGTAAGTATTGATTAGTATTTCAACAAAATTATTAATTTTTATGGAACTATAAAAACGATAATCCCAGCATAAAAAATTTAATGTCGACTCTGTTTTACAGCCTTGCATTTTAAATTACGCCCACCATATTTCTGATTGATCATAAAATGTTGAGATAGCCCGCTGTACTCGGACTATCTCAATCAACTCCTTTAATAGAACCAACCCACTTCAGAAGCCATTAGCATGTGCACTTCATTTGCCCAAATCCATGGATCACATTTATGAATGCACGCGCTCCACTGCAGCAACTTTTACTGCCGCCGCCAGCTGCAAAAACAAGAACAAAAACAAAGCTACTACAACAAACCCATTGCGATCACGTTCCAGGCACCTTTTTATGCCTTATGACTCTGATTGATGGCCGTTGCCGAAATATAAATGCCAAAATATCACACGCCAGTAAAAGTCGATTTATTACCGCCGCCAACAAAGCCAGCTTCGAACTTCGAAGCTCTCAATTAGCTGGGAAAAGCCCGAAAGTTGGCAGCGTATTTAACAGCGCCTCCAAGTCACCCGAAAGTGGGCAACGCGTGGCAGTCACTGCTACCATAAAATCTTCAGAAATCTGTCGTAAACAGTCGAAATTCCCGCACGGGTGGCCAATTAAATTGGCTGCCAAATGCGCAGCACGCGCTCATCGAAATTGTCAACACCGAAAACGAGGAAAATGCTGGAGGGGCTGCCAACGAAATTACCATAACGAAGTGGCTAAATCAGAAATCGATATGTTCACGTTTACGTTCACCTTCGCTGAACCGAAGAGCGGGCTCTTAAAGCGGGAATTTCCCCGAAGATTTTCCTTTGCCGGGCTGAGTGGAGCACACGCCCAGCTTTTGAGAACGAGCCCTCGAGTGGTTGCCCCGCGATGGTTGCTCCCCCATTTTCCACCCACTTTCCACCGCCGATGACAACAGGTGCTCTCGAGTTGGAGCCGCATTGTAATGTAATGCCAACTAAATCGCTGCACGTGTTTGCCAGCGACAAATGTGAGTTTTCCCCCTCCGGAAAAACTTTGTAGCACGCTTTGAAGTTTCTGCTGATTTGATTCACTCAATTGATTGGGCGTACTGTTTGTATATTGGGTGGAAAATATGCTACATTTATTTTACAAATGTTTTTCTTACACGGACAGATTTAAACATGGAAAGTGGATCTGATATAAGCAGTTTGTTAATTAATTATTTGATACAAATGTTTTTAAAGCTACCTATATAATATGTAGGAAATAATGCAATTAATAAAATAATAAAAATGTTTTGAATTTCTATATCACCACTCCATATTATACATACAATTTAATATCCTTACATATTGCGTATACGCAGTGAGGGCAGGCGTTGAACTCAAGGCAAGGACGTTCGAGGGCACAGCTGCATTTAATTATCGGTGGCAAATCCCTCATAGGAATAACAACTAAGTAAGAACGAGCATTTGTTGAGTGTGGGTGGTTGGTGCACCCTTCATGTCAATGTCCTGGTCAAGGTCAGCTGAAAACGTGTGCATTTCCCAGTACGTGCAGTGCCTGCGGCCAGGGATCAGCTTTCTCGACCCTTTGAAATTAATTTTCCTTTCTCGGAATTAAGTTTCCACTGCCCAGATTCTGGTTTCAATGCAAGTTCTAATTGCGGGGCCTGGGGATGTGATGTTTTGTACGCTTATCCTGCCAAAGGTCCTTGCCCTGGTGCGAATCAGTGGCTTGTTAATAATTCAGAACAGGAGCAAAACAAAATGCTAATTCCGCTTGAATAATTAAATTAAGCTTAGCACACTCTTGGGCTAAGCGGAAAAACTCAAAGAGAAATCCCACAACTCGGTAGCGCATTTCCACTCAATCTGAAGTGCGGTGGATAAACAACAGCAGGTGTGTTGCATTCGCGAGGTTGTGGGAATCAGCTGAGAGCTGCAACTGTGCCATGAGAGCACCTGCCGCAAAATGCATCCACTTAGTGTCAGCCTGATGGGCTCGAATGAATATTCAATGGCCTGAGAGATGTAGGAAGCAGAAGTTGAGCCCACCTTTGTCTGCATACTACATATATCTCTGAAGGTTGTTGCCAAATTTGCGCTTGACTAGCTAACGGTATTGCTGTCTTCACGAGTCCATAACTACGATATGCTTTATGAGCAGGGGACATAATTTATGCCGAACTGAACTGAGACAAATTAAACTTATAGCTGGGCACAATGGTTGTCAAGGTCGAAGAGCCGTCAACAATGGCTTATTGTTATGGGCGTTATGAATTAAATTTAGCAACCCCACCCTTTCAGCGCAACATTTTCACTCAGCGTAATAATATTTATTAAATAAAATCGTAAATCGATTTCCAATTCGCCGACAGGCAAATATTAATACAAGACTTTTCAATTTTCGCATGAATTATAGTTGTTTTTTCAGGCCAGGATCAGTTGGCCGGCTAAAAAGGTATTTAAGTGGCTCAATTCCCCACTCAGCAGCTCTCGATGTGCTCCAATTTTTCACTTACGAAACTAGGCAAAAAGCATTTAGCTGCGACAGTTGGCCAGGCATTAGTAAAAATATATTTCAACGCACTTTTCACTGGTCAACCTGTTGAAAAGGCGCCCGCGTTTGTCGCTTGAGTCTTTCGTCTCTGCGCATTGATAATTGCCAAGGGGGAGGGGGCATGTGGGCTGGGCAAGGCGTTGCAATAAAACAATTTTTTCGGTATTTTGTTTTTTCCTCCGAAATTTCAAAACACACGTCGGTAGTGGATATGAATCGAGCGAGTTGCTCAAGTAAAATTAATTTGAAGTGCAATTGAATGCTGAATGGGAACTTTTTTTTGGTGGGAGGGGGGTATACCTCCGGTGATTTAATAGTTGGGTGACGGAAAATCAATCAAGCAGTTGGGTGTGACATACTCGTGATGCCACGACCAGCAATTCAATCTGGAATCCTTATAAATACTATAAGATCTTGCAGTTTACATTGGACTACGCTAGATTGTTGGAAAAATATTAAATCAATCAGTATCAACTAGTATTATCTTAATGCTACATTAAATTGCTTTGTCTTTGTAAGCATTTTTTTATTATTATGTATTTATATATTAAACTTGCAAAATTAGAAGACTATCTCAATTTACATTAAAATTTATTTTATAGAAATTCAAGTCATTATGCATATAAAAGATATGCATAGAAATGCCAAAACAAAGCCAAAATACACTCAAACTGTGTCCTATACTTGAAAAACCAATTCTAAAACTATTCTGCTTTTCTGAATTATCTAGAGCACAAAAGAAAAACCTATAATTAACAAACTTAAAAAGCAAATCTGACTAAACTTATGTTATCCAAAGTGTACCCATAACAACAGTATATTTTACCTTTTTTTGAAACCCCTGATGCCATTAGTATAAGAGAGTAATTACATTCGTTTTAGAGTCATTTATCGTTTATTTACAGAAAGTGTTGAAGCCACGAGTGGTGCATTGAGTGGCGCCATGCTAACAAAATCAACGAAACTTGATCCTTTCCTCAAACTCTCGCCTTCGCTCTCGCCGCCTCCCGTTAGTTGTCCTTATTTCTCTAAGTGTCTCTGTCTCCAAGTGGGTTTCTGGGATTTCCGAGGGTTTTTGTACACAATTTGGGGAATAGACCCGGTATTTTTCTGCCTCTGACTACGAAATGCAAATTCAACACTTTGACGGCAGCAAAATGCGAATTATCCGCTGAAATATCTCGATTTCGGGGGTCGTCAACATGGGGGCTGGTATGTACGTATTGGTACTGGTATCAGATCCCTAGTGCAGGTATCCTCCGTGTCCGTAGCCAGAGTATCCCAGTCCGTAGCCACCATAGCCGCCGTGGTAGGTGGAGGTGGAGTGGATGGCAGGAACGGCATGGACCAGAGGAGCAGCATGGACCAGGGGAGCAGCATGGACCACGGGGTAGGCCTTGGTGGCCACCTTGTAGGTGTTGGCGTAGGACGTGGCCACCGGGTGATGGGCCACAATGGGCGTGGCGTAGCTCTTGATGATCGGAGCGTGGGCGATCACGGCCGGAGCGGCATAGGCCGGAGCCAGAGCGGCGCCATATCCAAGTCCATAGCCATGGCTGTAGGGCGAAATCACTCCGGCATTGGCCACGGCGCACAGGGCAGAGATGAGGGCAATCTGCGTTAGAAAACTTAATTGCTATATCCATTCACACATTCCTTTTTAATCCTTCACTTACCAGTTTGAACATTTTGCTGGTCTTGGCTGGTTTTGACTTCTTGACTGAAGAGCTGAGTGTGCTATGCTTGGACGTCTCAAGTTGCCTGTTATTTATACCCGCAACATGAGAAATATTCTGACAAATCTTGGCCCAAAGAGCGACGGAGCGGGAGAGCAAACACAAACACAAATACAAACACGCCCGAAGCTTTGTGCATTTGCCGACGACCAGCAGATCGCGAAAGAGATCAGTCACGCGGCGACTTTGGCTCAGACCCACCGCCAACTTTTGAGCCACCGAATCCCAGCTTTTCATGGAAAACCTCCTCTACGGGCATTTAATTCAATTTGTGTATATATTTTTTATTTTTTTGCATTTTTGTCAGCTATTGTTGGCTTCCATGGGGTGGCGGTTTTTTGTAACGGAAATTTTTATATTTCCATTCATTTTGGCGTGGAAATGAACAATTGTTTTACAGCGGTTTCCAGCTGGGAAAATTCTACTGCTAAATCTAGTTATTGTGCTTTAAATTGGCTATTAAGTTGGGTTTCCTTTGATATATAAACTAATTTATAATTATTTTCCTATTGAAATATCTGTTGATGTTCTAAATTTTTAGGATACAAAAGCTACTTTTAAACATTATATGAAGTTCATTTTCTTTAAAAAGTCCTTATGAAGCCAAATGTTTTCTTGTTTCTGTAATGTAATTGTAATTTTATATTCCTAATAATAATACGACATGTCATATTTTATTTACGCTTTATATCTCTGTCAGATTATTTAGCTTTAAGCTGTACCCAATTTTTCATCAGGAAAAGCCTTTAAGCCCATTTAGCATATCGGTTTTCCGATTACTGATCTCTAAATCCTTTCTAAAAGCACACACGCACTTGATTATCAATCAGCTCGACCAGCTGACTGACTGAATGACAGCTCATTACAGATACGGCGATCCGTAGGTGTGGAAAATGTTGTTGCTCACATGCAAATGATCAATCGGAGCTGCCTCTCCACGCACCAAATAAACGCAAGCGGTCCATGAAAAATTACTCACTTTAATAACTGACAAACATAAAGTGGAGATGGAGATTGGTGCAGTTGGTCAGTCGGTGGCCAATGGACGGCAGCTGGTTCGCCCATATTTTGCATGCATTAATTTTTAACTGATTTGTTATCGCGCACATGGCGTATGCGTAACTTGGGTGGACTCCGGCCACAGAATCAATTGGAAACAGAGGTAAATCATATTTGCCAGCATTTCGAATGGCCTGCCAGATTTCCTAATAGCCATGCTTAATTCCTAGTCAGCTTTTGAAATCATATCACAAGATTGGCCAGAACACGAGACGTGAAAAGAATTGCAAAACGTATGTTTCGGGCCTTGAATCGGTGTTTTGTATGAACTTTGAATATTCTCAGAGGGCTAACAAAGCGCGGCTTAAAGTTTATGACTCATAAATCAATAAACAATTACGATGGCGACAATTCTTCGGCTTTGACCCTGGGCATCGTTTGTTGATTGGATCCGAACGGACAATCTGCATATCAACGGGGCCTAGAGCAAGTCAAATCTCAATTCTCAAACTAAACCAAACCCTTCACCAAAGCCAACACCTCGTGATTTGGACCCGCGGCGTTATGCAAATGCTAACCAAATTGTCGCATAAATCTAAATTGAAGGCGGCTTGATTGACACCAAACAGGATGCCAAATTGCGTGGCCATCGATCGATCCGCAGCCACAGAAACCAAACCAAAACAGCCACCCACTCTATGGTTGGACTTGGGTTTTTTTTTTGGCTGGTCTGATGCTGGTTCCGATTGCAGCTGACCACCTAGCTCCAGTGGCCTGTAATTGCATTTTAATGGCCTCCCAATTGCATTGGGCAACATCCATGCATTCGACTCTGATTTGGATTCGCATTTCGTTTGCCAAGCGACGCCCAAAATACTTTGATTGCCAACAAATCATTCAAAAGTCGAAATTAAAAGCCGTCAATTTTTGCAGTCCAACTACTCGGGGCTCCGCTCAATATTTTTTCCTTTCTGTGATTTATGTGATTTTTCTGGGCAAAGAGTCGGACCTGAAATATTTGTCTGGCGAATTCTGGCTAAAGGAAATTTCACAAGTCTGGAGGTCTGGAATTCGCAACCAGAGCATAGGTGATTAGTTCGGCTTACTAGCATTTGATTAGGCCAGCCAGCTAGCCAGCCAGCATGTGACCGCAAAAAGTTATTATTTAATTTGTTATAGTTTTGCATAATTGTCGGTTGGGTGGATGTGGATGTGGATGTGAAGGGTAATTTGCATACTATATACCCCACAAAGCCTGCTGGTGACTCCCATCTGCGGATCGTTGACTGTGTGACTCGAGTGTGGCCAATTAAGTATTAAGTATACCACATGGTGGACGCCACTCGGTCAAGGTCGTGCTTACCCCAGCCTTTGTCACAATGTCGTGCACATTACAATGTGTACAGCGAAAACACCGACAATTACTCGTTTTATAATGATTAATACCAAGAGAAATAGCGACAACTGCAAAGTGCGAAACTGTAACAATGGCCGGCAAAAAATCTAATTTGTGTATGGAAATTACCCTGGAAATTTTTCAGAAACATCTTTAAAGTAGGACATTAGGTTGAGCTTCAAGGGGTTTTTTAACACCATTATAGTTTATTATTAATTAGGTAGTAAATTAGTTAACAAACAAAATTCACATGATCATTTGTAGCAATTGCAAAGTAACTATTTGAAATATATCTAATAAAGTATTTCCCATAAATAGTTTTAAAAAATTAAAGTAATAAGCAAACAATCCATTTGCCAAAAAAGAGGTAGATTCTATTTTGTAATGCCAGTCTCCCAAAATAATTTTGTTCTGAGATTTATTAGACATGATTTTTTAATGAGTCTGAAATATCATTCCGTGATTATGCTTCTAGGGTACCAATCAATGCTTTGTTTTTCCACCTTCCATAAAGCAAATGTCAGGCGGGCACCGCTGTGAAAAGCTCTAGAAACACACTCGCCGACAGAGAGCTGGGTTTTCATTAATGGAATTAAAGTGAGCTAAGGTGGATTAACCCCTTGCCACCCCTTTTCTCCTCCCTTCCTTTCGGCTACTGTATTACGGCAGAGCTGTTTTACCTTCAGCTCTGCCTCGAGGTTGGGCCAACAATTATCATTTGCAAAGTTGGTTTCGTTTTGCTTTGAAGTTCTTTTTGAACAGGGGACATTGCGCAATGCGGCTCATGGCACGTAAGGCATTTGTTTTTGTAGCATACTTGTTGTTTTGATCAACCTGCAGCGTGTTAAAACTATTTTGGTCACAGATCGCTTGACAGCTTCACTGAGTGTTCGCTCTCTGGCCGCCAATGCAAATCGACCGAAATCTGCTTCATAATTAAGTAGTTAAATCGGAGCTCAGTGTGTCTCGAATTTGATTTGCAACAATAAAAAATACATGTTGAACAACTCACGCCCCTTTTGGCGCTCGTAAATTAAAGTTGTGTGTCGCCAAATTGTATGCAAATCGTTTGACTCCCAGTTGCGGAGATTTATGCGAGGGGCTGTCCAAATAATTCGTTACTCGATTAGTGCTTTTTAATTGAATTTACTCCTCGTGTGGGTGCGCAATGCGCATTCCCGTTTTCTTTATGTTTTATATACATCTATTGTTGTACAATTCCATAAGGTTCTAATGCAGCTAATTTGACTTTCACTTTTTGCTGCCGCTGTGATTGCTGACTTATTTAAGATTGTTCTAGAGCAATTCGGTGACTTGTGTGGTTACTCACCCTGAACTTGTGCTGAAATCAAATTACTTGACGCGATCCAAGCATGATTGCACACCTGTGAGGGCAGTATCTATATCTAAATTAGAGGTGGTAAAACAATCAATCACGAGCATAAGATTTGCTTTGAGATTATGAAGGCGTCCGAGCAGGGATTGTATGGAAAGGACTTTGGTAACTGCTCAGACGCCATCCTCCTTTTTTGTTTCCAAACTTCATGTTTTAAATGACTTGTAACCAATCTCAACAAAAAGCCATTTTTGCCATCCCTAGGTCGCGCTCTATGAACTGCTAGCCATGATCAAGTTCGCTCTGCTTTGGATTTCTCACAGACAAAAGAAAAAATGATCTGAGAACACCATAAGCGATAAAAAGTCAATTAGACTTAATGATAGCCGCAGCTAAACATTAAATTCATGTACGTAAATTACATTAAAAAAAAAACGAAATAGCTACAAGAAAACAAAACCAAAACGAATTCGATTTGAGAATAACAACGCCTTGCGAACCAAACAAAACTAAAACTCGACTTGACTTCGCATTCTGTGTGTAATCAAGGAAGTTGTTGGCGCTCTAGTGTTTGGCAAGTTGCAACCGGCAAAAAGTGGCTTGTGCGTCTGGTTTTGTATAATTCAGTCATTAAAATTAATAAGACAATGCAGATCACACGCCCCACAGAAAAACGCGCTGACAGAAAAACTCAAAAGGCGGCCCAAGAACTTGCCAAACCAGGCATTTCCCAAACGTTTAGGCCTGGAGGCGGATGTGGCTATTACAGATCTAATTACACGGCGTATGAGCGATTTTCAATGCTGTTTTAGCCAGGCCAAACCGAGTCACACCGATAACGTTCAGATAAGGCCAGCTAAGAGTGTTGCTACTTTGCACCAATAATTACAACAAAAAGACTATGACTCGATTTTGGTTAGCACAGCTAATTAAGTTGCATGTTTCATGCTGACAAGCTCAAAGATACACAGATACAAATGCAGACTCGAGCTGAGTTCGAGTCAGTCCCAGTGGACACAGTCAACTTCTATTAGCCAGACTATTAAAAACGCTTGTCCATTTGTCAATATTCCAATTACTGGGTGATTGTGTTCGGAATTTTGTTGGAAAAGTGGATTAGCTGGAGCTTATGTTCTTCGTGGAAAAATGTATTTCCTTATGGGATTGAACCGCCAGTCCTTACCAACTTAAACTAAATTGAAGTAATTAAATAAATTGATTAAAATATTTACTGGTACTTTGGTCAGGCTTGATTGATTGTAAGAAATTCCACAATTGTTTACTTTTGGCTAGTAAACTTAATCGTGTAAGTGGTTAAATAAGCGCTCATTGGCTATCATGGGTTAAGTCAAAAAGCAAAGCTTGTTTAAGCTAATCAAAGCTTAAAATGTAAGCTATGTTTATGTCACGCAGCTTAAAAGTAGACAATTAATTTTTCAAAAGTTTTTTAAGCATGACCAATAGAATTGGTCGAATACAACAACTTTGCTTACTTATTTATTTTGTTTGCTTGTTTATATCGCTTTTTATTTGTGCCGCTAGAGATTTTACACCCGGCGGTAAGTGCAAGTCAAAGACTTATGCCAACTACTGCTAAACAGTGCATTGATTTACACTTTCAAGCTGGCCAGACCAAATAGTAGAAAGACTGGGGGCATAGAAGCCAAAGTGGACCGACTCCAGTAACAATGGCATTCTGCAGTAGCCATGCCAACAACAATCAGAGCAACATGGCCAATGATTAAATCGTTTCGGGGCCTGTCAGCGTCATGTTATATATCTCGCTTCTGAACAAGCTCATTGTGGGTTTTTTTTCTTGCTTCGGTTTTTCTTCTTAATTTAATTAGAGCCAAGGTCGCTTCAAATGGGCTGGGAATCTTGGCGAGCATGGTTAATTAAAATCAAAGTAAGCAAAATGGGCCAAATACGACATATGGTGTTTGGTGTGCGATTTGCGAATTGCGTTGGTGGCACCCAAAAATAGTCGGGAAAATTCAGCCAAGTCAGCTAGGGAGCAAAAGGCTGAAAAGAGTTTTGCCTGTTAGTTATGCTAATGGCTGGAATGCTGTCCCACATCTGGCCCAGTCAAGTAGAAGAAATGAGGCAGGAACCCAAAACGGATTGTGTGGGGTGTGGGTGCTACAGCAGGTATCATTTGTGGGTGGCTTGTTTATTTGGCCACTTCGCTTTCAGCCTCGCCTTGGTCCAAGCCGTTCGCTCAGTTACGCCCAAATGGGTCACTAATGAGCCATCTGGGCCTGGGAATATGGTTGAGGAAAAACGCAGAAAACACAAGAGCAGTGAAACAAAAAAAAAAACAGACAAAATTTAGAGATGATGGCTCGATTGTTTGTGCCAATTCTAACGTAAAGAAGCCAATTCCCTTGGTCGAGGTTGTATAAAACGCGGGTGACTTCTTCAACTGCCAAACATTGTTGTTCAGAGTTCAGCCAGCGAAGATGTTCAAAGTTGTGAGTTGCCCCGATATCATAGTAAAAAGGAGTAGCAATATTAATATTTTTCTCCTTAAGGTGTTTGTTTTGTGTGGACTGATGGCTGCCCTGATCCAGGCTCGTCCCAGTTATTTGCCCAGCTACGAGCACGTGGAATATGCTCCCAGTGTGGTGGGCTATGAGAGTTACGCCCTGCCCGCCGCCGTTTCCCACCAGAGCTCCACGGTGGTGCACGAGAAGCGTCCCTACTGGCGCCCCATTGTGGATCACACTCCGCTCCTGAAGACCGCCTATGCTCCTGCCACCTCGATCTCCTACGCCCCACTGAGCTACGCCGGCAGCAGTGCGGGCTGGTACGAGCCAGAAGTCTGGGGAGGAGCTAGCTATCCCAGCATTTACCTGAAGTAGAGGAGTACTCAAAGGAATATTCCCCTCAATAAATCTCATGCTGCACCAATGCTAAATTTTTAACCACTAAATTTTCACCAAAATTGTAATAAATAAAAGTCAAAACAAAACTATGTGTAACAACATAATTAGATCATGTTCAGAGGTCAAAAGGGATGGTTTAGTTTAAAATTATGATTATGAATCAAGAACATTAATAACCAAAAAAAATTATTTTATAAGCTTTTCACTAGCTTTTTTCAATTTTAAAGAATCACAGTATTTGTTTGTTACTCGCATTTAAATATTTATCATTATCTATCTTGTAGATATTTTCATATTTATTTTAGATATTAAATATGATATATAAATTCATATGAATAGCAAAGAAACTATATATTGTGTAGATTTGTTTTAATTTTAAAAAAATAATATTTTTTCACACCAATAGCCATAAAAAATATATTTTCGTAAGGCTCGCTGCGATTTAAAAGAAACACAATATTTGTTCGATATTCACATTTAATTTATTTGTTCGTTTTCGGGTTTTGCTAACTAGTAAACAAGGCACAGTTCAAAATCTTTTGTTCTCAACGCCTTACCAGGAGCTGGCGGCATAGGCGAGGGGGGCGTGGTGCAGCAGGGGGCGGGGGCGGCGTAGGACACGGGCGCGGAGTAGGCCACGGGGGCGGAGTAGCTGAGGGGGGCGGAGTAGGTCAGGGGGGAGGAGTACGAGGAGTAGGCCACCGGGGCGGAGTAGGCCAGAGGGGCGGAGTAGGCGACGGGGGCCACAGTCTTCACAATGGGGGCGGCAGCCACCACAGGAGCAGAGTGGTGCACAGCGGTGGTTTTGACCACCGGGGCAACCACATCCTCGACCACCGGGGTGCTGTGCACCTGGGTCAGACTCTGGTGGGAGACGGCCGTGGGCACGCTCTTCACAACGGCTCCAACCTTGGCCAGCACGGGTTCCTGGATGACGGCGGTGGTGGCAGGAGCACTGTAGACCAGAGGAGCAGCAGCCAGGTGTCCGGGCTTGGCGGCAACCACGGCCAAAAGAGCAGCGAGAACGAACTGGAGAAGATTATACCAATAAGCAATCCAATCAGGGTAAGACTTTGTTCTTCAATCCTTACCAATTTGAACATTTTGGTTGAGAGTTAACTTCTTCGACTGTGTCGCTGGAAAGGGAGACAAACTTCGAGTGTGTTGAGTTGAGGGACTGTCAACGTCTTTTATACTTGAACTTCACTTTCGCACACACACACCACACACACTCACGCACTTTGCCGGCTTTTGTCCATTGAGGCGGATACAATGAGCCATAAGTCGAACGTGCCCGAACGGATTCTGTCCCGCGTATTGGCCACAAACCAGATTATTATTCGTGGCCAATTTCTGTTCGGCTCGCCATCTCCTTCTCTTTTTCGCTCCCACCATCAACACTCATTACTTCATTTATTTTTGGCCTCGCACTTGTTGCCATACCCACACTCTTGATTTCATTTCACAACCCGGTCTCATTAGTCGCACGTACTCGCCCGGAGATCGAATTCTGGTGGGGAGCTGAGAATAAAGGGTCCGAGATTACTTCTAATTGCGAGCCAATCTAAGCCCGCTTCCGACTCAAGTCAAGGCCAGTTATACGATGACAGAAGCACACTTTCGTTCCCAGAAACTATTTCTTCGATTCAAGGAATCGCCTCTGCATTTTGATATCACCAAGTAAGCAGAGTGCTTCGAAAACAGACTCTGCCGCATGGATACTCACTATAAAAGATATGACACCTAAAAAATACTATCGTACATACAACACTCGGACCAAAATGGATGAAGCTTTAAAATGGGTTAGATCTAATAAAAAAAAAGAAAAAATCAATAAAGAAAATATTATTAAAACGGAACAATCATTAAAAACGTTTTGATTTCTTCTAGCCAAAGTATTTTAAATTTTATTTTTATAATCATAATGATTCTGAATCTATGATAATTTTATACCAAATAGTAAACTTCAAAACTTTTCAAAAAGTTTTTTAAATAGCATTTTTCCATGTGTTCAATAAACTTAAATGTTTTCACGGATTAAACAGGGTATTGTTTAGTTACTGTGGAAAAAATAAACATGAAAACATTCCGACTGAAGTATAGTTTTTTTTTCCCCAGAAATAGTGTATCTGTTTAAGTTTCACATTAATTAGTCATAAGGGCACCTGTGCATAAAGAACACAAGTCCCTAGAAATGAAGAAGTTGTTCTATAAAAGCGGTGAGCTGCAACAATGCACTATTCATTGCAGTTGAGTCGTTATAACCAGTTATACAAATGTTGAAAACGGTAAGAAGAAAAGTGGAAATCCTTTGGAACCTTTCTCATTCCCGTCCAGATATTTTTCTTCCTTTTTCTGTCCTTTCACTGCACCAGCGGATATGTTTGCGATCGTCACGAGATATTTAGACGGGACTTAAACTTAACCGCTGTGGATTACGGATTGGGTGGAGCTCTGAGTGTGGTGTTCGGCCCCTTGGCGAATTTGGCTGACAAGGCCAATATAGATATACCCCTAATATCAAGGTTCCGTTCCAAGGAATCGGAAAGCTAAAAAAATGTGCAAAAAAGACATTCAAGGAAAGGGAATGCCTTAAAGTAAATATATTGCTGAATTCTATACACCCTTGACAATTTATTTAGGTGCAATGACATTTTGGCCTTGCCCTGACATCTTGATAAACAAAATGGCTAATGCAAAGCCGAGTTCACCGACCGGAAATTCCAGTAATTTCCCAGTCAGCGGGATGCCAGTGCTGTCGCCCAACAAAGTCTCACCCACATTTTCCATATGTACAATGTTTAGCCAAGAAACAGGTACACCAGGATACTTCCTCATGCCAGAGGGCAATGAACTAGGACACTTTTAGCATAGAAAACAAGTTAAGACCCAGTCGGCAGTCAGGAATGTCATGTTTAGATTTGAAAAATCATACTTTAATGTAAAGAAACCACATATATATATTTCGTTTCCGGAATAAAATTAATAGATTATTTTTTCAGTATTATAAGCCTTTTATTATGTTTTACAAACACTTATTTTTTCCGCTTCTGAAATGGTCAGCTACTGGAAGATGAATGACCCGAATAGAGAACAAAACACCATAAACCGTTTCAAAGCAAAACATTTATTTATTTAAAATTCGTATCACAAAACCGTCCAGCGATGCACTCGCATCCTGGTCACCTGGGAGCAGTGGGCAGCACTTTACCACACACCAGTGGCGGTGTAGGTCAGCGGCGAGGAGGCGGCCACTTGGGCGTAGGATGTGGCCAGAACGGGAGCAGCGGCGGCATAGCTGGTGTGGACAACTGGAGCAGCGGCGGCATAGGTGGCATGGACAACGGGAGCAGCAGCGGCATAGCTAGTGTGGACAACTGGAGCAGCAGCGGCATAGCTGACCACCGGAGTGGACTTCACCACCGGGGCCACGATGTCCTCCACCACATGCGAGTGGCTGTGCACCACCGACTGGCTCTGGTGGGAGACGGAAGTGGGAACGCTGTTCACCACTGCACCCACCTTGGCCAGCACGGGCTCCTGGACGACGGTCGTCGCAGCTGGGGCGGCATAGACCAGCGGGGAGGACTCCAACAGGTGACCGGGACGGGCAACGGCTACGGCGAGCAGAGCAGACAATACCACCAACTTGAACATTTTGGGCTAGTTTTGGTCTGTATTGACTGTTTGGGACTGCGAGTGATCGGTTTGAGTTTCTTGCGAGAACTGTTGCTGATTGCCGGGCTGCAGTTAACTTTTTATACAGCAGCCACTTGGCTTTGACCTTCCGGCGCACAAAAGCGCGTCACATTTCCAGCCAAAATTAAACCCATATCAGATTCTGGCCGACAATCAATAAACAATTAGCGTCGGTGGACGGCTCAGCAGAGACAAGCAAGCATTATGTTCAAGTACACCGAAAAGTAGGAATAGAAAATAGAAATAGAAATAGAAAATAGAGCAAAATATTTGAGGTAAATTTGATTAATATTTAAACATTAAATATTTTGAACAGAAGAATCTACATACATGTTCCTATTCGGATTTTCTTTTTAAATATAAAACTCCATAACCATTTAGATGTAAATATGTAAGAAGAATTTGTAAGTACCTTTTAAACTTTTTAATAATGTTGAAGCATTTTTAATAAATAATTTTTGCACAAACTAAAATACAATTGTTATAAATACAGTCAATGTGCTGACTTATTTGTAAAACGAAAAATCATTAAGCCCATCATTGAAGTATCAGCAATATTTTCTCTGTGTAAAATTGAATCGAGTCACAGCCATTAGGCCCCCTTGACTGCCATTAGAGACTGGGGCTCCTCGGCGACTGCATTACTTGCACTTTGAGGGCGTGAGTCAGGGTCAACGTGCAGTGCGTGAGTTTCGGGTTTTGTACCCAAGGGTCTAGGGTTTCAGGTCTCAAAGTGACCAATTGTAAAGTCTCATGCTTTATTGTCCCAGCGAGGGCAGATTTATACAACTCATTTGGTTTTGACTGCGCTTCGCTCTGCTCGTAAATGTTTTAATTAAACCACTCTTTTTGACTTTGCAGCTGCGGCGTGGCAACGATGGACAATATTTCGTTAGCTTATAGTATATAAGGCAGCACTTTGGGTTGTCTAATTATCAGTCAACTTTGTTCGCTTCAGCAGCTCAACACAGACCAAGAAACAAAAATCCTTAAACATGTTCAAATTGGTGAGTTAACTGAGGACAATTGATAATCATTTAGAGTGGTTATTAAATGGTATTATCATATAATAAATTATATCTTTCTGTCATCCTCCAGGTGGTGTTGTCTGCTCTCCTTGCCGTAGCTGTCGCTCGTCCCGGTCATCTTTATGAGTCTCCCCTGGTCTATGCCGCTCCAGCTGCGACGACCATCGTCCAGGAGCCCGTTCTGGCCAAAGTGGGTGCAGTGGTGAACAGCGTTCCCACTTCCGTCTCCCACCAGAGCCAGTCGGTGGTGCACAGCCACTCGCATGTGGTGGAGGACATCGTGGCCCCGGTGGTGAAGTCCACTCCGGTGGTCAGCTATGCCGCTGCTGCTCCAGTTGTCCACACTAGCTATGCCGCTGCTCCTGTTGTCCATGCTACCTATGCCGCTGCTGCCCCGGTGGTGCACACATCCTATGCCGCCGCATCTCCCGTCATCTACAACTCCAGCTGGTAATCGGCGGAAATGGACTTTTGGGCGCTCATTCAAGCGATCTGGATGGTTAGAAAAAAAGCGATTCCTATTGTATATAAACGAGTTTAATTGCGAGTAAAATGTGATTGTTATTGAAAATTTATATTCGTTTTTCTGGGACATTTTGGGGATAATTAATCTCAGCAACAGATTTTTTAAATTAAAGTTAAGAGCTGGCTTTAAAAAGTGAAAACTTAAAGTCAACAAGTTTACAGATCTCTAAAAACTTATAAAACTAAAAAAAATAAAATAAATAACATTTTTTTTATTTTGAGATTTATTTCAAACTTAAAATATAACTGGTATTCTTTGAGTACAAAATAAAACTCGATAAATTATCTTTAAAATGTAATTAAGAAAAAAAACTTAAAATTACGGTCCTTGCATTTTTGTTTTCAATTTTTGTTGTCACTTTTAATATTCTTTCAGAGGATTTTATAATTTCTGTCAAAAGTAAGCAACAACAAAGTAATGAGACAACTCCAGGCTCAGACAGTCGGAAAAATAAATACCATAGCGTTGATTTCCAGTTATTTTCGTAAAATAGTAATGGTATATTATTTTTAATATCGGACAACGACATAATATAGCTGCGACAGAAACGATGTTCATCCTAAAATCAACATTTAACGTTAAAACATTAAAGTTCTTCCTATTCACTTGACAAGCACGACAAATCAGTCTAAAATATAATGCTTCTTATTTAGAACAATTTAAAAGGGGTTAAACTAGGTACCACAAATAAACTTTTTACAACTTTTAATGACAGTCCCGTTCAAAAACATTGCTGTCAGTGAACTTATTTTGTCACACCCTAGCTACTATTGTAGTATTAAGTACCCTTAAAGCTTAAGTTGCTTGGAAATTTAAATAAACCGCCCCTTGAATAGTCGCCAAGTGATTATTTTGAGCATGAAACATGGATTTATTTACATCAGTCGAAAGGTGAAAGAAGAAAAACAAAACATCGGGGTAAATAGAGTAAACAGGGGTGGGGTTAAGGGTAAGGGTAAGCCATAGTTGCTAGCCCACGCAAAGCCGAACAGGGCCGCTCCGGCCGCCACTTTACCAGGATGGGGCCCAGCCGTGTCCGGACCAGCCATGTCCGGACCACCCGTTTCCGGCCCAGGGAGACGAAACGAGGGACGTGTGCAGGGCCGGAGCCGCATAGGTCTTGATGATGGGGGCGGCATAGGTCTTCACAACGGGGGCCAAAATCGGCTGGACAATGTGGGCCGAACTGTGCACCTGGCTGATGCTCTGGTGGGAGACGGCACTGGGAACGGTCTTGATGATGGCGCCCACCTTGGCCAGGGCCGGTTCATGGATGATGGCAGGGGCGGCATAGCTGTGGAGCAGGGGTCCGGACTCCAAATAACCCGGACGGGCAGCCACCACGGCGAGCAGAGCGAAAAACACCACCTATTTTGGGGATTACAATATATTTAGTCACAAAACTATAGCAATCCAACATCAGAGCAACTTACCAACTTGTACATTTTGCTTATCCTTGCGATCCTGGCTATTGAACTACTGATCTACTGAACTGTTGGTCTGTGTTGACGCCTCGCCGAATTGTGCTGTTAGCTCCAAATTTGCAGCAGCTTTTATACTGCCAAAATCCGAGCAGAGGCCATGTGCAACCGAATCTTAAAATGCAGAAAATACAATAATAATAATTTTGTTGCTTTTTTCCTCCTTCAAGCATCGTTAAGAAAAGCTGAAAAATAACGCCAACGGCAATGGCACACGAAAGAGGGGGAGAATCGAGCGGCAGAGCTGCCAAAGTTTGCATGTGCTGCTGCAGCAGCAGCAGCAGCTGATTCGCTTTGTCTTTTGGCTAGATCCCGTCTGACAACACCATCCAACTACCAAAAAACTACACAAATGGCCAACTGACCGAGTGGCCACAGCCCACCTAAGACATCGTACCCCATTAGGTTGCAAAAAGCAAAAAAAAAAAAAAAAAGAGATACAGAAACCAGTCAAAATAAAGTGTCTTGCTCGCGGACGTTGGGCTTTTGGCCCACTCGGGCAGTTGGCCAGCAGCCGCCACTTGCATCACTTCACGCCAAGACGGGCGTCGCAGCAAATGTGCTTCACACTTATCATTTTCCTTCTCGCAGTTGACCGTGAAAATTTCCCGAGGCTGCCACACGCACAGCAGCAACATCAGGCACACAGCAGCAACACCAACTACAGCCCGCCCAAAGTAGCCCAAGTTCAATGTAAACGCACTTGCGTGTATCTGTCATGGCCAAAACATAACTGGCTCTAATCTGCAGAGGAGGAGGAGGAGGAGAAGGAGGAGGGGGGTTTGGGCCAGGGGACCTGTGTCTCCGGTTGTTGCGTCTGCGGGAGAAGGCCAACTTGGGCGGGTTGGTTGGGGCAGGAATGTGCGCCAACTCACTGGGCAATTTGTTTGCCCATCACGTCGACCCACGAACGCCAAACGAAATAAAAATGAATTTCTTCATATTTTTAGCAAGCCTCGCAGTGGTTTTTCTGTTTACTTCTTTTCGCTTTCTGAACAAGCAAATTCTGGGTAAGACAAAATAATTGGAATAAATACATACTCTTAAAAATGATATATCTGACGAATTATTTTGAAGTCCAGCACTAATTTGATATGAAAAGCGAAAGTATAGAGTGTCCATTTCATGTGTTTTCTCAATACCTAAATTTTGTGTTTATTAATGTTTAAAGTCAAGAACTAACCTTCAACGTTATTTTGTATGATACATTAAAATACATTTTGATGTCACAAAAAATTTTAATGTTATTTATTTTTTTAAATATTCAAAATATGATTTTGGACATTAAAAAGTGGTGGAATAAGACTGATAGATATTTATTTTGTTAATTTAATTAAGTTAAAATTAATTAAATTAACAATAGTAATATAATAAAAATTAAAAAAAAAAATTTTAAATAGTAATATTGTCAATTAATAACATTTTTTTCCATTTACTAACTTTTTTCAGATCTAAAATCTAAAGGTAAAATGATTGGATACATTAAAACTGATTTATCTTTAATCAATAAAAATGAACAATAATATACAGCCAGGCGATCCCGAAATGTTTATTTTCCTTTACTGTATCTTTTATTCCTCAGGGCAACTTCAACACTCCCTGCCTTTCTCCACCCCTTTTCATCTGTTCGTTTATTTTTTCAGGTTATGCTAATCTCGGCTTGCAATTGTCTGGCATAACAATGGCCAGCTAGACGGGCCAGCGATAAAGCACCCGAAGGCAGCACAGACCCAACCTTATTCCTAGCCACATCCACATCCACATCTGCGTCCACATCCCACATAGAACCGCACTCGGGACTGGTCTGGAGTTCCGCTTTTGTGTAATAAGCAAACATCGACTGCGATTGCGCAGGCGCACAGATCACACATACGTAAATAGACAGTGGTGGATTACAGAAGGGGTTTTTGGTTGGTCAAGTTGTATATGAGAACATTAATTCACTTAGGAAGTTACTCCCAAATAAATTTAGAAAACCCCAAAACTAGATTTTCGCCATCCGCCACTGTTCATAAACAACAAACACAACTGTACTTTCAATAGTGTTCAACTTGTGTTGTATTTGCCGCCGTTATGGTGATTTGTCAGCAATTTTTAGCATGATTAATGAATGTTTCGATCTGGCGACATAATTCCCTCCCGCTCCACCTCATTGTTAGCCGAAATTCTTGAGTGACTTTTAATAGATTTGAGTCTATTTCTGGTAAATTCATAGGCAATATCCGGGCTATGTTTTGTTGCCAACATGCTGTGCAACCAACATCTGCGGTCTATACTATATCTTTCATGGGATCTTGCTATGGGGGTAATGTACGCCTTATGGCCAGCAGGCAAGTGACAGTTCTGCCGTTTTTTCTGTTTCTTTTACTGTTTCTGCCAGTGCATTGCATAAGAGCAACAAGAGCACTAGCCACATAAAGAAATTGCCTGGCAATTATCATGCAGGGAACCAGTTCCCCGGGCAAACTCGGTTTCGATCGCCCCTTATCGCACACGTTTAGCACCAAACTCAATTTAGCTTTTAATTAGAGACATTTGAGCTGATCTCAGTCTAAGCGTAATGAACAACAATTAAGCCGCGCTTAAAGATCAATTACTCGACGGTATGGGAACGCTTGTTGACAGTCTTTTAAACGTCATTACTTTTCTGGCATGTTCTTTCCTTAATTACCTCTAGCTTCTCAGTGTTTCCGAGTCTTTTTGTTATAAATATCTAATTTTCCATTGTGTTATTGTTATTTTTATACAGGTAATTGGCTGGAAGGTCGGTATAGATCAGACGGAATAATATGAACAGCGTTTGACATCATGTAAATAATCTATGGAACTCATAAGTCAGGAAGTAGTTATTGGAAGTCAATTGGAAAATTGTCTCAAACGAAGTGGAAGCATAGCAAAATAAAATAAAATATTTAAATTTTTTCCCGTACTTTAATTAAATCAAAACCATTATTTACGATGATTGAAATAATAATTTTAAAACATGCGTCTCAAAAATAATCCTGAATTCGAAAACGAGCTGCTCTTATCCAAGCTTAGTAAACGGAAAGTATATTTTGGTTTACTGATATTATAAGTAACCTTAAGCTTAAATTATTTGCAAGAACATGACTAAATTTTTATACAATTTCAAGACGTTTATTTGGATGAACATGCATTTAACTATAATAAAAATGTCAGTTATCGAGAATAAAAAGTCTGTCATGGTGTGTTTTTTAACAAACTAGTCTACCGCCTACTAATGTAATTCAAAACTAAGGCCATTAAGTTGTCCATAAAGTTTAAGTACAAAAGCATTCCGCTCTAAGCCCAGAAACCCACTCAAGACTCAAAATTAGTTGACCATTATGTTACGTGAAATTGAATAGTTTTGCGGGCTGGAAATCAAAGCTTTGTTGGCCAAGCCCGATCTGTCGGACTGGCGTTGAAGTTGCCAAACACTCCCGGCCACAAATGATTTGACTTCGACCTGTCCTGTTGGCGCAGTTCACTCAGGTGTCAGAGCGCTGGACACTCAGAAAGTCGGGTTGATTCGGATACTCTGGCCAGAAGGAGCATATTACG